TTTTCTTATAAATTTAACGCTTGTAACACTTTAGCAGATACGAATATAAAATTAAAAGACGGAAGAGTTAATATATAAAAACTAATTTAAACTTTTTAATAGTTACTTTAAAACAAAAAAAAAGAAACTCTAATAACATATTTCAAAAAAATATACTTTATAATTTTTTTCTTATTAAATAATTAAATTCTAATTTAAAACATTTAAAGTTTTAAATAAATAATTCCATAAACTTTCCCCCTAAATAAAAAATCTATTTAAATGTTTAATATAATGCGCAAGTAGCTTTAGCATACTTTTTAACTGGTTGTTTTTTTCTACAAAGTTTTATACAATGCGCAAATAGCTTAAGCATAGTTTTTCATTGGTTGATTTTTAAATTACCGTGAAAGTTTTTCGGACCTTTAGTAATAATAATTTTTGTCTTGCAACTTTTTTTTATTTATAATCCTTAAATTACATATTATTAATTATTGTTTAAAAAAACAATAACTAATAAATATGTAAATTTTGACTGTTATTATTTTTGCAGTAGTAAATTTGTTGTTTTGCTTTTTTATTAATTTTTGCAATATGATAAACTGATCATTTCATTAAAACAGTGTTTACATTTTTTAGAAATACTAAGAATATAATGACAGATATTTCCAGATATTGTAATTCGCGATCACTTAATTCGAGCCCTGAAATGTGATAGTTGTTTTTAGAACTTTTTTTTAAAGAAATCTATTTGAACAAATAAATTTTAGTCTCTCACAAGAATTCTCAACAAAAGAATTTTAATTTCCTCATTCAAATTCAAATTTGACTTTAAAAAAAATTATAAAAATTTACAACTTTAATTGTAATACTCAGTTGCATAGCAAGAATCATTTTTGAAAGTTAAACGTATATCTGAATACAGTAAAAATATCAGATTTTGAACATAGTGCAAGATAGGAAGAAAGTTTTATTTAAATTGTAAACATTTTGAATATTTTTTTTGTTTTTTTTTTGTTTCTTGAAATTAGTTTTAAAATAGAAACATATTGCAAAAATTAAACTAGTGATTATTGCAAACATTAAACAAAAAATTAAATTAAAAAAAAAAATAAATTATTTTACTTTTGTTAAAACAATTTTTTTTTCAAAAAAATAATTTAAGCATATACTAAAACTTAACAAAATATATAATTCGATTTTTTTTTTTTTCGATTTATTAAACCAAATTTTTTTTCTCTTTTTTTTATATAATTCAAACTTATTAAACCAAAAATTTATAAAAAAAATATAAATTGACTTATTGAACCAAATTCTTCTGTTTTTTTATTAAAAAAAAAAAATTGGAACAAAAAGTTGAAATATCAACTTAAAAACCATTTGAATAAAAAAATTATTTTACTTGAATTTTTAATAGTACATTTATTATACTTAAATTTTTTTATAGTAATAGATCAAGAAGCAACAAATTATAAAAAACGCAGTATCTATTGTTTTTTTTTTGCTTTGATCTTACTCATTTGGGCTATAGATATAGCATGTCTTTGTGCAAATATGAAGTTTAAATTTTTATGACAATGCTTTAATTTATTTATTAGAACAATTCTATTTATTTACTTCATTTTATTTTACTGTATAAAACAGCAATAAAACAATGTCATAAAGTTGTTTTACATTAACACGAGCTCTTTATATCATACAAAAACAACTTTGCAGCTTTTTTTTACTGTTGTCTTATGGCTTTTTACAATAACAATTCAATACTCACAATAACATGTGTTTTATCGTCTGCATGAACATATTAAATAGTTTTCTATAACTAATTAAAGTAGTTTAAATATTGTTTTATTTTTTTACTTTTACTTTTTTAAGTACCATGTTAAGTAAAAACAATTATAACTTGCTCATTACACTATAACTGCAACTTAAACTTTAAATTATAACTTAAGCTGTAAATTATAACAGTAACTTATGCTATTTTAAACTCTGCCAAATAAGAATATTTTAAGATATTTAAATATGAAAGAAAAAAATAACAAGAACTAATGTAGAAAAGACACAATATCGGTCGGCAGTTGTTTGCAGACTTTTACAAAGTAATTTTATTTGTTATTTCAATTACATTAAAAAAGGAAAAAGAAACATTTTTATTTAATTCTAAATAAAACAAAAAACTAAAACAAAAAAAAACAAATGTTTTATTTAAATTCTTAATAGTAAATAAAAAAACCCAGCAAAACAAATGACTTATTTAAAATCTTAATATATTAGTTAGAATAAAATAGAAAAAGAACACTTTATTCAAATTTAAATGAAATAATAAAAATAAAAACAGCAAGACAAACAATTTATTTAAATTCTTAACAAGCTAATTTTAAAACACAACAGAAAAACAAACATTGAATTGAATTTTAAATAAAATAATTAAAATAAAAACGAAAATTTTAATTAAGTTATAACTTAATCGATACAAAAAAAAAAAAAAAAAAAAAAAAAAAAAAAAAAACGGAAAATCCAACGTTTTATTATAATTCTTAATAAAATAAAAAAATAAAAACACCATAAAGAAAATTTTATTTAAATTCTAAATAAAAACTTTTTACTTAAATTGAAAACAAAACAATTAAAATAAAAACAAAAAAAGGAAGAATTTCAAAATTTTTTAGCAACATAATTAAAATAAAAAAGCAAAAAAAACTTTTTATTTAAAATCTAAATAAACTTCAAAAAAACTTTTTATTTAAAATCTAAATAAACTTAAATAAAATAAAGTCACAAATTCTGAAAAAAATCTTGGAATTCTAATATCCGAAAATCTTAAATATGCTCAACAGTGAAATATAGCTGCAAACAAAGCAAATAATATGCTTGGAATTTTTAAACACGTTTGTATCAAGAGACATTGATATTTGGAAAAAAAATGTATACTGCATATATTAGACCATATCTGGAGTTTGCCATACAAGCCTGGAACCCTTACCTTGATAGTGACATAAAAAAAATTAAAAAGGTACAACGCAACGCCACGAAAGTTCCTCATGCTTTGAAAAATAAAGACTACAAAACTCGATGTAAAATCATGAAGACAAGTACTCTTGAAGACAGACGGAAAAGAGGCGTTCTTATTCAAAAATATAAGCTTCTTAACAATTTAAACCTAATTGATTGGCACGTAATGCCTGGCAGCATAGCACCCAAAGCTCAACATTGAATCAGATTTCATCGCGAGATTGTCAGGAACTGCGAAACCAGACATAAGTTTTTTAACAACCGTGTAGTCAATGACTGGAATGCTTTGCCAGATAATGTCATCAAGGCAATATCGCTTGATAAATTTAAACAACTACTAGACAGTTTTCAGTCATCATAGTTGCTACAACTCATCATTTACCATAAATGCCACACAAAAGTGGCCAAAATAGGAGTTTCAGCTGAGTATACGCATCTATACAGATGCATATACTCAGCTGATGATGAGTTTAACAAAGCTGTGGTTTTGTGTAACTTAAATTAACTAACTAAAAAACTGCAAGAGAATAGAAAAATGAACACTTTTTTTTTCCCTTAAGAAATTTCTATTCCTAATAAAACAATTTAAATAAAATGGCAAAACGAACATTCTATCTAAAGTCCAAAAATGAACTAATTCATATACCACATTTTCTTACATGTTTTATTAATAAAAAATAAAATGATTAAAATAAAATCAACAAAACTTTCATTCATTTTTCAAATTTTTAAGCAAACATCGACGTTTGAAAAAAAGCCATCAAACTCTGCGTTTCTTTCTCTGTAAATTTAATGCTAAACGTTCGCATGTCAATTTGTCAAACCCTGTTTCAAAATTATGTGCCAATCTAAAATCATTTTAGGTCGGCAATTTCTTGCAACCTTGTTTTTTCTATTTCTGAGGGCTGATTTGTATATATATATATATATATATATATATATATATATATATATATATATATATATATATATATATATATATATATATATATATATATATATATATATATATATATATATATATATATATATATATATATATATATATATATATACATACATAATATATATATATATATATATATATATATATATATATATATATATATATATATATATATATATATCAGCATGTAAAATAAGAAATCGAAGGCTAACGGTCAATTTGACCAGCTAACCCTTGGAATTGACGGTCAACTATTTTTTTTGGACGGTCAACATTTTTATTATTTTCTTTGTTTTCATTTTAATCTTCCTAATAGTTCTTCATAAATGAACTTTATAAATACAATAATAACTTAATATTTGATTATTAACGAATAGTATTCCTTTTTTAAACTTGCAAATAACTAACATTAAAATTTCACGCCAATGTTAATAGTTTAAAATTAGGCGCACAGATTTTCATTTTACTTCTTAAAGGAAGTTTGATAAACTGATAAACTTTTTCAAAATTTTAATGATTATATGATAATTTAGTACATGCTTTTTCCAAATAATAATCTGATTATTTTTCAAATCTTGTTTTTTAAAACTCTGATTATTTTTTAACCGGTTAACCATGACCAGCAAGAATTCATTTTGGGAGGTCAAAATTGCAATTTTACTCATTTTCGGCGGTCATCGACCGTTGACTGGCCGTTATTTTACACGTTGTGTATATATATATATATATATATATATATATATATATATATATATATATATATATATATATATATATATATATATATATATATATATATATCAACTCTCAGATTTTCAGTCCTTTGTATCGAAAATTATTCGATACAAAGGACTGACTATTAAAACATAGAAACGAGGTTGGTAATTTTTTGCTGACCTCAAACATTTTCAGGTCAGCAGTTAGGTTGGCATTGCCGAATGCCAACCTTAATTCCTAAGATTGATGTGTGTGTATATATATATATATATATATATATATATATATATATATATATATATATATATATAACTGATGTTTGTTTTCAAATAAATGAACAATAAAATACCTTAAGATCACATGTGGTATTAAGCAGTAAGTTGCTTGGTTTTAAATCTCGATGCAAAACATTTGCTGAATGTATATATTTCAAACCTCTTAATATTTGATATAAAAAGTAACATATGTGATCATTGCTTAGTTTTTGTGTCTTTAAAAGTTTGTATAAATCAGTTTCCATTAAGGTCTGTACAATATATCTACAACATAGAAAGGAATTAACTAAATTACTAATAAATTAAAATTATAATTATTTTAAATATAAAAAAATACTTACACATCTTTCATATCATCAATTGTAGGTGAGCGTTTTATATCTTGTATGTTTATGATCTATAATAAAAATAATAAGATAAAAAATGATAAATATCAAAAATGATTTTTTCAAAAAAAAAAAATTGTAATTTTTATAATAAAAAAACTAAATAATTTTTTGTAATAATATTTTTAAAATATTTTTTGTCATATTTTTTTCATTCACACTATTTTTTATTTGGAACTGATTATAATGTACAAAATTTACTATTTAACAAATTTTATTGTACAACTAGCACTAAAAAATCAATGTATGCCGGTGTATTTAAATAAAATAAAATGTTGAATAAAATTTTATTTAGGTTTTTTTTTTTCAAGAGAAATTTTTTATCAACTAAATATTATGGTTTTAAGGACTGATCCAGATTTATTTAACGTCTTACAAGGAAAAAGATATAAAAATATTTCATTGAAGTTTAGATAATTTGTCAAAAACGCTTTATCAAAAAACAAAACAAAAAAAGCATTCAAAAGAATTGTAATAAAAAGTGCATTCATTTTCTTAGTTTATTAAATTTAACTTTAGTTAACTTACAAAATAAGATTTAAAAAAAATTATTGAAAATGAAATTTAATTGCATATAATATATTTTTATGTGTTAATGAGTATATAACTATAACAATTTTTATTCACTGTTATTTTATTAACTTTTCAATACTGTGAAAAACACATAATGAAAAACACATAATTTTATAAAAACAAATAATTAAAAAAGAAAAAAAGAAAAAGATTATCTGAGAATTTGAATTTGATTTGTTAATATAGTATAAGTAAAAAAGTTAAATACATTTTCATGATTAAACCGTGATAAAATCTTTATCTCTCTAAGAGTTCGCTGACAATAAGTCTGATGTTCAAAAGGGCTAATCTTCTTTATTGCAACTTTATTACCAGTGTATATATCTGTAGCACAGCTAAAAAAGAAATTATAAAAACTTGATATTTTTAATCTATACATTTTACATTTGAAATTATTAACTAAGTTATAAATTTGGTATTATAAATACAAAGCATTACAAAAAACAACAACACTGAAACAACAGAACAAATAAGCTGGTCAAAATATGTTATTTTTTAAATAAATAATTAAAGCTTGTACTTTTTTTTGTATTAAACTTTTTATTAAAAATTCTTATTTAGTCTTTTATTCCCAATTTTTAAGCCATTATAAAATAAATATTTTCAAGCTTAATGTTTTTAATTTTAAAATTAAATAATTATAAGGCTTTAAAGTAGTTTGTAAATCAAGGTGGGCCACTGTGTTGTGTTTATAGGGCTATAATTTCTAAACTTAATAATTCCTTGAACTTGATAGTCTGAAATTTCAAAACTTGATAAGTTGAAAATAGTTTTGTGATGAGGTGTTTTGGCTTGGTATTCGGAAGCTAGGTCTACCAGGTCTTCAGCGCCACTCAACACCAATCAGCATGTAGGTAGCATATCGCTGTAAATGGTTCATTAAGTATCCATTAAGATGATAGTGCAGAATTGTTAACAGTGTTAAAGATGCTTAATTATCCAAACTATTATAAACATCTTGATGATGTCACTGTAAAAAAAAACTCATAGTCAAATATGAATAAGATACTGATTTTTAAATTAATGTTGTAACTCAAATTAAATACTAAACAATAGAGAATGCAAATAAACATATTAATATACTTTGAGATGAACGAGTTAGGCGTTCCAGCATAAGATGCCTCATTGCTTTTCTGCAATGTTTGCAATCCTATTTAAAATAACCTATCTTTTATATTCTTTGGTGTGCCAAAGTGAAACAAAACGGTTACTTGTACTTTTGGTATTTGAATGTGTGTGTATGTGTGTGTGTATATATATACAGGGGTGTACACTTGATTTTGATATGTTTGAGTTTTGACACTTACAGGCATTGTGCAAACTCCAAACTTTTGTATGTTCATGCTTATGTCAAATGAGGATGTTTTGCAAAGAATTGTGGTGATTGGAGGTTGGGAACAAAAAAACCCTAATTTTTAGGCCCACCTGGCCCTTAATGTGGGAGCAACAAGTTTATAAATTATTTTCTATACTATTTTTGTTTAAATCAATATTCATCAACAAATTTCAAATTTCATGCAATAATCTTTTAGTGTTCAGTTTTTATGACCCTGCAAAGTTTAGAGCCCCCTCAAATTGAGGGGGGTTAAAACTTTATATGGTCATAAAAACTGAACACTAAGAAAATATTGCATGAAATTTAAAATTTGTTGATAAATATAAACTTAGATAAAAATAGAAGAGAAAATTTTTTATAAACTTGTTGCTCCCATATTAAGGGTCGGGTGGGCCCAAAAATTAGGGTTTTTTTGTTCCCAACCTCCAATCACTGCAATTCTTTGCAAAACATCCTCTTTTGACATAAGCATGAACATACAAAAGTTTGGAGTTTGCACAATGCCTGTAAGTGTCAAAACTCAAACATCTAAAAATCGAGTGTACACCACTGATATATATATATATATCTATATATATATATATATCTATATCTATATATATATATATATATATATATATATATATATATATATATATATATATATATATATATATATATATATATATATATATATATATATATATATATATAAAATACTATAATATAAAATTTTTCTTATAAAATGATTAACCATTATTATTTCTCTCTGAAATAGAGATTTAAAATTTATTTAAAATTACAGAAATAAAAATTACAAGAAGGCAAAATAAAAAATAAAAAAATTATTATAACAAACTAATACTTTTAAATTTTGCAATGCAGTGTTATTTATAAAATAAAAATCTTTAATCATGTGTTCAATTAAATAATAGATTTGTTCTAAATTTTAAGAACTACTTTAAAAAAAAAAACAGCTCTCATCTCAAAAACATTTCTACATAAAAAATAAACAAAGATTTTTTGATACTTATATTGTTACTTTATTTTATAAAAAAAATATTTCTTTAAATAGTTTTTTCTTTTCTTTAAGCATTGTTGCAAAAAGAAGCTTTCAATAAAAACATTAACAAGTTTAGTAACTAAATTTTGAAAATATTGAAGAAATGAGCAAAATAGCTTTACCCAAAAAAGTTTCCTAATTTTTTCAGTTTAAAAAGTTTTGTTGTGTATAGAAACCTTCCTATAGTTTTAACAAGGACGGTTTCTATTAACTAAGTAAAAATAGATTTCTTTTTTTTATTAATTACTCCCAAATAATTATTCTTGATTTCAAAGTTAGTGTATTCTTAAATAAAGTACCCATAGTAACGTAAAATTTGGATACTTAACACTTCTCAGTACACTATTTAATAGTCCAAGGTATTGCCTCATTAAAATTAATAAACCCTAAGCCATAATAAAGGGCTTTGAATGTGTCCTCGACAATGCACGCTGTAACAGGGACACTATCCATGCCCAACATGGCACTGTTAATACTCTGATACTTTGCAGCTGTTAATGGAATCAGCCTCTCTGAGAGTTACTACAGAGTTCAGAAAACCTGACAACCAGATGGATGCATTTAATATCTGCCTAATATAAGTATTTATCGAGACACCACAAGGCAGGGGGTGTGTTAAGCCAGAGTTGGCTTCTAGCCTTTACCTAAAAAAGCATATTCTACAAGGCAACAGGACATAAAGCAGGTTGATGAACTTGATGAACAAACATATGAATTTTTTTTATTAAGTATATTTTTTATAAATATATTTTTTATTAATATATACTTTATACTTTGTTTTTTGATAAAAGCTTCAATTTTATATGATGCACTATATTTATTCGGGGGATAACATTTCATTTCTAAATTTACCAGATTTAAATTATAGCTAAATTAAATGATTATTCTTGTTCAACTTCTTCTTGTTCTTGCATAAATCACATTTTTTCATCTTATTAGTTAATCAGAAGATGATCTGAATTTATGAGATCAAATACTTTGAACAATCTTAAATATCACCTAGGACAACAATCTTAAATATCGCCTAGGGATTACCAGGGATTGCTTGTTATTTTGCTTCTGATTCTCTTCACTAGCTCCAAAAAACCCAAAAAAAAACTTCCTTGTAATAATATTTGTTATCATATATAGGCTGAGTCTTATAATAATGCATTTTTACTTTTAGAAATTTACAAAAACGCATTGTAAACATCATTGGCACTTGTCTAGCAGCTAAAATATCTTAATAAATAGAATTTCTATAAATTTATACAATACATATTTTATTGAATACAACATAGACATAAAAAGGCATATGTAGATATATAAAGATAATGAGTGTTAAAAATAATATGCATTAATTTAATATATCTTTAACTTATTCAATTAAAAGAAATAAAAGTACAATGAATATTATTCTGTTTTTTCTTTTAATTGAATCAATTTAAGATATATTATTAAGTTAATGCATTTCCAACACAGGGTTCCTACTATTAAAACTAAGGCTAAAATTAAGGATTTTAAAGAGATATAAGGAGATATTTTCCTAATATTTAAGGAGATTTGGTAGCGAACAACATTTTTTTGAAAGAAAAAGTAAGGATAATTAAGGAGAAAACGATTACATTAAAAACATAATCTTATTTTTTTTCAATAAATTTTAAATATAAACAGAGAAACTATTATTACTTTATATATATATAAAGTAATAATACTTTATTTATATATTTTCATTTAAATAAATATATTGTTTCACTTCACCATTATTAACTTCTGTTTTAAGAACTGGCTTTCTCTAAATAGCAGCTAGTTTTTTAACAAAATTACTAAATCTCAGTCACCAAAGTTTCATCTGGTAACAAAGTAAGTAGGGCAGAAAGATGCTTATTGATATACTTTTTAAATATTTTCGTGTATGTATGTATGTATGTATGTATGTATGTATGTATGTATGTATGTATGTATGTATGTATGTATTTATGTATATATATATATATATATATATATATATATATATATATATTATATATATATATATAATACATATATATATATATATATATATATATATAATATATATATATATATATGTTAGTCTATTCTACAAATAGCTCCATGTTCTTAAAGAACAGAGCAATAAAAAATTAGTAAAAACACTTATTGAATTTTTTTTTTGGGTGTTGAAGAAAATAATATATATGTATTATATATATATATATATATATATATATATATATATATATATATATATATATATATATATATATATATATATATATATATATATATATATATATATATATATAATACATATATATAGGTAATCCTACAGTCAAATGCCCTAAATTAATTTGATTTTTTCACTTGTTGGGTTCTTGTCAGTGGAGACTTTTTAAACATAAGGAATATTTATTGGATTAATAAAAGAAAAAAGATTGTTGCCAAATGTCAAACTCTGATTGATGTAGCAGCACACTCCCTTGCAGCAGCAGGCTATAAGATTGTCATTGTTTGTACTGAAGACATAATTTATTATGTTTAAAAAGTCTCCGCTAATGAGAGAGTAACAAACAAAAAAATAAAACTATTTTAGGCTGTTAACTGTAGCTTTACTATACATATGTATGTATGTATGTATGTATGTATGTATGTATGTATGTATGTATGTATGTATGTATGTATGTATGTATGTATGTATGTATGAATGTATGTATGTATGTATGTATGTATGTATGTATGTGTGTATGTATGTATATATATATATATACATATATATATATATACATATATATATATATATATACATATATATATATATATATACATATATATATATATATATATATATATATATATATATATATATATATATATATATATATATATATATATATATATATATATAATATATATATATATATATATATATATATATATATATATATATATATATATATATATATATATATATATAGACACATATATATAACAAACTATTTACAATCAAACATTTTTTAGATTCTTATATAGATATTTACACAGAATCTCATGGGATTTTATAGTTATAAATTATTTATACCTACAAAATCCCATGAGATTCTCCTTGTGATCTGATTAAAACTTCATTTTAAATTTCCTAAACTTTCTACTTTTCACAATAACTTCAAAAAAACAAACATTTCATTTAAAAAATTTTACTAATTTTTCCAAAGTACATTCAAGTTTAAATAAATCTCTACAGGTCATTGGTAAGTTTGCTGCAGCACCTGAACTATTTCATGCAAGAAATGTTTTTTATATTTTACTGTATATGGTCGTAATAGGAAATGTTCTTACCAAACCATTCCATAAGCTCCTTCTCCAATGTAACTTAAATCCTTATAACGTGGACCGACATCAAAAACTTGGCCACGTACAATTTCTGCACTTGCCATGTTCCCGGAAATTGCAGGAAATTTACCTAGCTGATTTTAAAATTATCTCTCGTGTCCTAGTTTCCGAAGGAACGGCACCGACGTCGGTTGATCACAAAAACTTTTGGTTTACTATCTGTTGATATAATATTGCCAACTTAGTTCAGATTTATAGACGAATTTATTTGTTTTTGACTTGATTTTTCGGATTCCAACCATCTGTTTAGCTATTCAAAAGTTATTTTTACAACAATATGAGAAAACAGATAAGAAAGGAGAGAATAATATGAGCGGTGAGAATACGAGAGAAACGTGGGCATTCGCCTCCTAAATTTTTATTAATGTTTCTCATATTAATAAAAACTTAATTTTTTTTGCTGATAAAATTTAAAGCAACCATAGCAGCAGTTTTGAATTTTTGTTTTTCTTTTTTTTGTTGTTATTAAGATAATCTAAAAAAACCTAATATAACAGTCATGTCACAAGAACATTTAACTAGTAATTCATGAAACCTTCTTTAGTGACGTACGTGGCTAGCGCAAGCATTGAACAATCTTGACTCTGAAGCGCTTTTAAACACTTAACGGCTGCATAATTGATCTAAAACGTAATTTAAAAAGTTGCTTCAGACTTCGTCAAAATAATTATTGGAATGGGATAAGTCATGGGTACACGCTTCCGATTTATCATCGTGAAAACGTTTCCGCAATGATTATTTAAATTATAATGGGTTTATTATTTTATGGGAAATACCCTATTAATAAAAAATAGGTTTTATTTATAAAAATTTAATTTTTTTTCATGTACTTTTGTTTTTATAGTTCCTCATTATCAAAATTTTTTTAAATTTTATTAAAAAATTTGCGATTTAATGAAAGATTTTTGAAAAAAACATTTTATCAACTAACAGCGTGCAAAAGTAATGCGTACTTAAATGCTTGTTTGGCGTATGGGGCGCTACAATTTGCCGTTTAATGTTAAATATAGCTTCCATTTGTATAAATGCAATATATAAATTTTTACTCAATCGTGTTTTGGAAATATCATAAGTTATAAATAATGAAAAAAAATTTTTAATTAATTAAATATACATCGTGAAGGCGTGAATTTCCTTCTTGTTAAATGCTATTCCGCGGTGCTCTTTGATAAGACCGTTAGGACTTCTTGGAGCACCTAAAACAAATTACAAAAAAAAAAAAAAGAAAAGCTTGATTTTAAATCATCATTATGGAACAGCAAAAATGTTCTTTAAGAATTTCATTCTGTACTTATTATCAAAATATATTTGAAAATAGAATTCGAGCATTTAAGTCCTAACGTTATTTTAATCATGAAAATTGAAACTTGGTGTAGATTTAATTTATGAACATTTCGATCGCAATCGAAGCCTTAAGGCTTCGAGTACGAGCTAAAAAGATTTACAATCTTTATTAGCTCCCGATACAATTCTACTCGCATATTTTTGTTGTTACGTTTTTTTAGTTTTGATTGGTACTTGCCCAGATAGTGTTAAAGTTTGAACAAAAGTACCTTTTAATGATTTATCATTTTGAAATGGATCTATATAATTTCTGAGATAAATGGATAATTTCTGAGATAAATGGATATTTTCTGAGATAAATGGATAATTTCTGAGATAAATGGATAATTTCTGAGATAAATGGATAATTTGGAGATAAATGGATATTTTCTGAGATATTCTTTTTCATTCAAATCATTTATATAAAAATCTTAATTTAATTTCACACCTAAAAAAAAAAAAAAAGGAAAAGTGCTGATTCCCTTTGAATATATTATAAGATGTATTATGTCGATTATAAGATTCAATAATTTTAGTGGGATATTTTTATCTGATTAATAAAATTAATTTAGTTTTTTCCACATTTAATGTTTATTTGTACACTTATAGTGTAACTCTATTCATTATTACTTCACGAAAACGGAAAAATGCTTATTGTTTGATTGGTTCTTGCCCACGCAATGCTACAGTTTGTCAAACAATAATAAAGAAAAGCAATGTAAAAAATTTTTTACAATATAGTATTAAGAAAGAGTACATTATTGCAATTTTTTTTTTTTTGAAACCCTCTTTCAAAACTATATAAAAGTTCCATTAAAAATGTTTATCTAATTTGACATTTTCATATTTTCAAAAGGTTTATTGATGATTTAAATGAGTGTTATTAACTTTAAATCCAAAGTTGAACGTTTTAAAACCTAAATTAGTTACTTTAGGTTTTGTAAATTTTTTTTCCTAAAAATGAATGTTTTTAAAAACCGAAATTTATTACTGTATTCTATCTATCTAATATATAACTGCATAATATTGCATCTATTATGCAGTTATATCTACTATGGTGCTCAAACTTTCTGTAAACTTGTATTAACTTCACAAGTATCACATTCATTACTAGGGAGTTTAGTGGACTGTAACATTTAACTAATTGCCGATCAACTCTCCATTCCCTCGCTGTAAATAGAGTGTAACAATTTTATCAATAGTGTTCTTCTTCTTACCTTGTGATAAATACTTTCATAGTTTTGCATTTTACCTTGTGATAAATAAATTCATAATTTTATTTTTTGTAAATTCAACATAAACTTAATAATCAAATATCAAAAATACTTAACATTTTTTTAATACTTATTTTGGTTTACTTCCAACAAGGCTGCAAGCAACCACTATTTAGTTGGGAGTTACTAGAAAGGAAAGGATAGAGTTAAAGAAAAAGGAAACGGTTGACAGAATACTTGAAAAGTTGTAGGTTGAATGAGCCAGGAAAACATGAAAATGGGAGAGAAATTTAAAAGGTTAAAGTGTGGGGAAAAAAACTAGACGAATAAAAGTTTTTAGAGCATTCAGAGAAAAAAACAATAAAAGGATGAGACTTTGCTAAATGACGAGTTAAGCGAGTCTGGTCACTAAAATCTTTTCGTCACAACAGTTAGCTAGTCAGCCATAGAGCAAGAAGATTTAAAACTATATTGATTTTTTGACAGCAAGTTACTTGACTCAAGATGAGATGTTAGAAAATTTGTTGATCAAAGACTTTGCTAATAACAGATAGAAGACTGATTGGACGATAGTTAGAGGGGTCAGAATGTTCTCCAGAGTTTTTTGAAAATTGGAACAACAGATGCCATTTTCATCTAAGATGATTATTTTTATCGAGACACCATAATACAGTATATAAGTATATCTACACAATAATTTCAATTTACAAATAGTAAAGGGTTTATAAAAGACTTATTTAATCATAAAATAGTAATGCAAAATCCCTTCATAAAGCAGGTTTTTAGGAGGTAAGGGTTTTTTGTGCTAACCTTCATATCCCATTTAGCGATAACTTCCCAGTGAAATTATCCAATCTTTATAATTTAGTAATTTCAGTTCTTGATTTTATTTTATTTTATGGAATAAGATTTAGTTTTATCCAAGTTTAATATATGTTAATTATAAACCATCAACTAACGTCATTCTTTTTTAACTTTTTAAAATCTTTTTCATATATATACAGATCGGAGTCATTTACAAATAAGATAAAATGTTAAAGGTCTGATAGTAAATTTAGGTATAAATAATAGGGATGAGTGGGAAGAAGCGGGACGCGGAAGAAGTGGGACACCCTAAATTTCGAATTAGGAGAAGTTCCTGATCAAAGTTATCTAATATAAACAATTAGATTTTTTCTCCGCTATTTAGCAGATATCGCTTTGTTTCCCTGGGTGTGTTAAAATTCACATTTTTGAAAAGTACCCTCAAAAAACGATTTTTTGAGGGGTGAAGTATAACAAAGAAAACTAATTGATCTCTCATTTTTTCTATATCACTTTTGTGATTGAAGAAACAGTAATAAAGAATTTGCAAAACAAAATGAATGATTTATAGCAAATAAATTGTCTATAAATATAAAAAAATATATATTATACTCTCTTCAATTGTCTTCATAAAAAAGAACTCATTCCTTTAAAACTTCTTAATCTCTTTGTTAATAACTACTGTATCATAAGAGAGAGTTATTGTTATTTTTAAGAGAGAGTTATTGTTTATTTTTAGGTTTATTTATTTTAGCACTAACGTAGCTAAAATAAATAAACGGCTTAACAAACAAAAGCATGCTTTAAGAATAATTGAAAACGTAGCCCGCTTCTCACACACTAAATTGCTATTTACTAAACTTAATATTCTCAACGCATTTCAACCTTTATCATATTCTTATTCTTATGTTCAAAGTTTATAAAAAAACGGCACCCATCATATTTAACTTAATTTTTGGAAAAATAAATCATCTATACCCAACACGTTTTTTAGTAAATAATTACATTCAACCAAAAATCTACTATTGTGCTGCTAAGTTTTCAATTTCAAATAGAGGTCCTAAACTATGGAACACGCTTTTGAATATTAAACTAAAAACCATTTCTTCTTTTAAATAATTTAAAAAATTTTTTTCTAGGGCTTTGGCGATAAGATCATATTTATCTTCTTCTTGCCCCAGCCATGTATTTATATAATTGCATTTTTATAACTTTTTTTCTTTTTTATCTGCGAAATACATAGTTAATGATAATTAAAAAAAAATTAAGTGAACGAGGTTTACGGTCTTAATAGTTTTTGATAAATTATTTTTGTTAATATCTTGTCAATTATTCGATTGTTCCACTTTACCCTGATGGGACGGTTTCTCTAAAATATATATACTTTAATCTAATCTGCTGTCAACCTTAGGGAATAGAATCAGTGCCCAAAATGCTTTATTTGTTAAATCTTGTTTAATGTGTACATACATTATATAAAAAAAGATACAAAAATTATTCTGGAAGTATTTTTTTCTCCCCACTCTCCCCTAGATATTTGATTTGCAAGTTATATTAAATGTTTTATTTATTATTATAAACAATACATATAATATAACCATGTTTATACAATAATATAACATGGTTTAAAATAGCAATATATATATATATATATATATATATATATATATATATATATATATATATATATATATATATATATATATATATATATATATATATATATATATATATATATATATATATATATATATATATATATATATATATATATTAGGGTGTCCCAAAAATAACATTTTTGTAAAATATATGTTGCCATTTATACCATGCTTTTTAAAAATTATAAAATTAATCATAAAACTTGTACTTTTTTAATTTTTTTAGGTGCAGTTGTTGATTCAAAAATAATTAAAAAAAAATGAAATAAAGGTTTAAATGACAACAAATACCGAATGTACACATTTTTTTTAAAGACTGAATCCAATTTGTTATAAATTTAGTTAGTTCATAAGTTTACAGTATTTTTTTACAAATTAAATTTATTTGACTTTATCGATACATTTGAAAAATTAATATTAACTTTTAAAATATTCTGCTAAATTCTAAATTTCAGCTAATATTTACGTAGAAACTAATTAAAAGTTTTATCCACAAAAATTTTTTTCCAATTAATCTCTTGATAATTAATCAATTAATCTCTTGGTAATTAATCAATTAATCTCTTAGTAATATTTGTTATTGCTATTCTTCAATATTCTACAAATTTATGACGCTAATTACCAACTGATTATTCCTACCAATTTATTATTGAATAATTAAAAACAATTATTGAATTTCCATGATAGCACAACATGTTACCCTGCAGTGAAGAATGGTTATTAGTTTATTTTAAACTTTCAAAAATATCTTCACGTCAGCATTAACGTTATTTTTATAATTTTCAAGATAACATTAACTTAGTGTAACCAGTGCTTTTCCTTTATAAAGTGTTTAACTAATGCTATTTTTATAAACAGTTTTCTAAACTGTCTAGTTTTTAGTCTTTTACTAAGGGTCACGTGGACAGATTTGAAGTTCTAAGAAAACACAATTATTTAACTCAATCCAAACAGAGTCGTCCATGCATAAAAGATCAAAAACTTGCGTTTTAATTATTGGCTCTCACAGCGCCATACAATTTGTTTATTCGGTACAAACGAGTTGATGTATGCTCAACTCATTCCAACGCTTATTTAATCTTTACGGCGTTTTGAGATCTAAGGAAAGATTTATATGAGAATCCAGTAAAGATTTTAATATGATCTGATGTAAAATATTGATAAGATTTAATTAAATTAAAAATTTTATTAAGAACTTACTGAATATTTAAAAATAGATTAGGAGTAGTTTATGGTAATCATTGGAAGTAAGTAACTAAAATTCAATATTAAATTATTTTAACGCCGCAATATAACATAATTATATTACCTTTTTAAGAATAAATCTTTTTCTTGAAGAAAAAAAAAATCATTTAAACGAATGAATAGCAATAACCACTGTTAGAGTTTTTTATGATATTTAGTTTGATGATTTTTGTAGAATTTATACAGTTTGAAAAATAAATAGCAAAAGTTAGACGGTATTTAGATAGTTATTCATGGTACACAACTCATAACTAGGATTATAGAACGGGATAATTTAGGGAAACAGTTTGACAATAAATTGTTTAGCATAGACAGCATAAAAAAATAATTAGTTTGACATCGCAAAATGATCGAAAAAATATTGCCTTGTGTAATGCTACGCAACAATATACAACTAGATGTGTCTTGCTTCTATTTCTCAGAATTACGTTTTATTTCTCAGAACGTTCGTTGGATGTCTCAAGGACGTCCTACGGACCTGTGACTTCTTTAAGACAACGTTTAGACGTCTTAAGAACGTCTGCGCTTGCTTGGATATACATCGACTGATTTACTTGTGCACAAACAAATTCGATTAACACTGAGTAAGAAAAAAAAAAGTCTATCAAAATACTAGCATTGATAGCCACACACATATCCATACAAGATATACTTTTTACTTATTCTCTATGACTTGCTTATGTCTGTAATGGAGTGCAATTTTATTTTGTAAAAATTATTTTGTTTTTTAAAAAGTGTTAAACAAAAAAAATATATTGATGGGTTAATTCTAAAACATCCAAATTTGAATTATAAATGTTAAAATGTGGATCTCTACGCCTGCGATAAATACAAATATTATAGACAGAAATGTTAAAGCAATACAATAAAACACCAAAATATGTTTTTAAATTTGAATTTGTATACGAATTTAAACTTTTAAAATCGTTTTTCTCAAATCTGTTTAAAATCGACAAATAATATTTTTGAAATAACCCATTGATATATAATATATAAAAGGAATATATAAAATCATCTCTTTTTACTTAGCTATTTTATTATGTTTTTACTTTAGAAGGCGATATTTTTAAAAATATTTCAAAACAAGTTATTATCAAGACAAATGGAAGAATTTTTAATAGATATTGGTTGAAAATGAATACATTATTTTATATCTTGATGTTATGTTTTCACCACACATTCTCAAAGCAGGTATAATTACGATTTTACTGTTAAAAAGGGTTTAAAAAAAAAAAAACTTAAAAAATATTTGAAAAATAAATGATTTGTGTTTTCCATGATCACGGTTTTGTCGTTCCATGACCACGGATTGAGAGTAGATTTTTAAATGCCTTAATTTTTATGTCATGTTTTAGATTAATCAAGGCGAAATACTCAGCAAATACGAACATCCGTTTCAAATAGAAAAAAGTAAACTTAATACGAATTCGTCCTTATTTACCAATCAAGTTCAACTGAACTATAACGCAAATTTTTTAAAAGATAACTTAGAAAACGATATAGATAATTTAGTCACACGAAGTGTTCCACAAAGAAAGAATAAGAAAAATTCTTTTAAAATATACAATGATAAAACTCTTAACAAAACTTTTCGAAAAACCACGGACAATTTTTCAACAAAATCCATTCCTGCTGCATTCAATAGGACATTGACAAAAAAAGAAAAAGTAAGCGAAAAATTTATTAAAGAACAACATTTGCTGAAAGGTAAAGCCATTGCATCTGCAGTAATAAACCAATTAAAAAAGGCTTCTGAGGACCAGAGAGCTACTTCTATATTTCAAAAAGATTTGTTTTCAACTAATATGGTTGCGCAAAAAAACATAAAAAATAAACCACGAACAATCTCAAGGTTTACTGGCAATGAAGACGACAATATAGATGATTCGGATTATGTTTTAAAAGCAAAAGCAATATTAAACCAATATAAAGATATAGATATTTCAGATGAAGAAGCAGGCGAAGAAGCTCCAAAGGATAACGAGGACATTCAAAATAGTTCAAAAAATAAATCTTCTTTGAAAGGTGAAAAAACCTACACAAAAAGTAGCAGTGACGAAGTCTTTGAGAAATCACCAATAAAACCTGATGAAAATAACATTTCTATTACAGAAAAGGTTGAGGCAGTTGAGACAAGTAGTAAAATAAAACCTGATGCTGTTGCAAATGATAATATGACAGTAGAAAACATAGATAAAGCAGAAAATAACGAAGGTAATAATTTGGCAAATAGAAATAAAAACGAAACACGGAATAATGACAGTTCCTTATTACAAACCCATTTCACCGAAAAGGATATGTTAGATAATCAAAATAAAAGTGAAAAACTAGAATCGTTAGAGAATAACGGAGTAATGTCTCAAGAAAAACCTGATACATTAAAAAAAAATGGAGAAGAAACGCAAGAAAACCAAGATACAAATATGAGAAATAGAGAAGAGAAACAAGGAAATCGAGACACATTGGGAGAAAATAGTTATGACGCTCCTGAGAAAATGAATTTGCAAAGAAATCCAAATCAAGTTAATAACTTAATTGATCAAGTGAACGGCAGTGTTTTAATAGAAAATAGCAATCAGTCGGAATCTTCCCAAAACGTTTCACGAGTTAATAAAGCAACAAATGAATCAAAAAATGAATCACTGCAAAATGACAGCAGTTTACAAAAAGAGACCAACTTACCAATCAATGATAATAGTAATTTAAGAGGAATACCAAATGAAGATCAAAAAACAAACTTGCCTATAAATATTAATAGTAACGTAGAAGAAAATATTAAAGAAGAAAAAACTACAAGCCCTATAAGTTCTGAAGATAATACAAATTCTGTAGAAAAATTAGATGAAAAACATGACAATAGTAACACAGTAAATAGTAACCTGGTAACACAACATGAAAATAGTAACCTGGTAACACAATCTAATAATCTTTTAAGCAATATAGACAACGAGAAACTTGTAAGTAGTAGTGATAATGAAAAACTAATAACCGACAGAGACAATCAAAAACTCATAAATTATACAGACCATGAAAATTATGAAAAAGATCAATTTAAAGGTTTGAATTATCAAAGAAGAAAAAACCAAGAATTATATCAACTTGATTCAAGTGAAAATTATTCGGTAAAAAAGAAACCTAGAAACAACACCTTAGAATTTCAAAAAGTTGAACCGTTAGAAGGAAATAAAACTGCAGATATTGCAACGTTCAGTGTAACAAATGTAGAGAGTGTTGCAAACACAGTGCCAAATGCAAATGGTGCGACAAATACGGTACCAAATAATGCAACAGTAAAAAGAGGCGCCGCTCTAACTTTTAGTAAGGTTTTTATACAAGAGAAAAAGCCATTACTCAATGAAGAAAGTATACAAAAAATAATAAAAGAAGAAGAGGAAAGTGAAAAATATGATCGGTTGGCCGATCAACGTGAAACTTTAAAGGTTGATATTAAAAACTCCAGTAACTTACCATTAAAAAAAGTAGATTATTATAAAGCTATATTAAAACCTGAAATTCCATTATTTAATAAAAACAAATATGCCACTCAAGAAGACGACGCCTTTTTAGCTAGTCCGATTTCGGACCCATCAGCACAAAGAGAAACTTCTAAAACAAATATGCAAATAAAAAATAGTTTTAACTTTCAAAAGATTGATCCTTTAAAACAACCTTTATTTCCTGCCAGTGATGTAAAGGCCGATTCACGTGAAGATTCTGCAGAAAAAGCATATGCTTCTTTGGATGGGGCAATTTCAGAACCTTATTTTAATAAAGAAAATAATTCAAAAAACATCAAAGAAGAAGAAGTATGTATATATTTTTTTTTTTTTAAATCTATTATGGTTTTATAAAATTACTTATACTATTTTTACCTTTTTTGTTAATGATAATAATCTTCAGAAAATAATAATCTTTAGGAGAAGTTTGTTGACTAAGTTGTGCACATAACTTTTTAAGCTCAAAATAAAATTTTCTAAACTTTTCAATTAAAATATTGCAATCTTTTTATTAACTAAACATGTTTTGATTAGTTTTTAGTTATCTACAGTTGATTAGTTAATTAGTTTTTAGTTATCGACAGTTATCATTAGTTATCTACAGTTGGGTTAAACAATTTAAATTAAAATATAACTTACAGTGGTTATTAAAATACGATAAAACTAATATTTATAATAAAATAAAAAAATTTTTTAACAATAAGTTTTTAAATATTTAACAAATGATTAAATAAAACAAACGATTAACGACCAATAATAATTTACAGAACAATTTCGTTGGTACAGAGATGTTTGTTGGTGTAGATTGTTATACTCTTATAATGTTCAGTTATTCTTGTTTTAAGATGGGAGAAGTTTCACTAATATCATAACCTACTCATACAAATTTTTTTGAATCCTGCATATACAAATTTGTAAATAGCGAATGCTTTTAAATCGATAGGAAATTTTTTTAGGGCAAAACATTTTAAAAATTTTAAGAGGTAAATTCTAAATTAGGTATATAAAGAAATATTTACTTTACAAGTAATAATGTTCAAGAAAAAAGTTTTCAAGTTTTTTTTCCTTTCCATGGTAAATGAGATTAAGTTATGTCGTTTGTTGATATAGTCTAGAAGCAGACAAAAATAGTATTACTTTCTGATAGGAATGCAGCAAAGGTTTCACCAACATAACGTTTGTAAACACTTGCTTAACTTCTATGTAAGATTTATATCATTTACCATCAAAATGACTCATAAACGAATTAATATAATATATATATATATATATATATATATATATATATATATATATATATATATATATATATATATATATATATATATATATATATATATATATATATATATTACTTAACAATTTAATGCCGATAAGACTTTTTAATTAAAAATGTTTATAAATTTTAGAAGTAATTATTAATTGAGTTGATGGTATAATCTCCATAGAATATTCCCACGAGTGAAACGGGGGAATGCAGGTTTATTACTAATTAGTTACTAACTTTTTAAGCGTAAGTGGATTATAACTTTATTTAGTAGTTTACAAAAATAAATGCACGAATCATCACACGAATATATGAATTAATACTAGTTCAACAAAATATTTATAAATTTGCTAGTTACCAGGTTTCAGTGGCGTAGCTTGGAGCGAGTTAAATTGGTGCGCCCTTTATTTTCTCAAAGTTTGGTGTTTTCGTATATGATTATTCCATATATGATTCATGTTTGGTGTTTCCGTATATGTTGACATACTTCTAATCTGGACAAAATAATTGTTTTTTTTACTTCTCCATTTGTCAGCTCTATGATTTTAATCTACATTTTATCTATCATTTTATACAAATCAATTTGGCAAGCTATAAAGTAAAACTTTAGCTTTCTCAATCGGCCAAAGAGCTAAGACAATGTTTTGACATGATGATTTTTTAAAATGTTTTTATTAACTTCATTTTTAAAAAACTTCGATCTGCTGTATCTGTTGTCATCTGTTAATTTAAAAAACGGGGCATGCTGCAATAATGTTGGAAATACTTAAGGCTGCGGTGTGAACTAAAAGTAGTTTAGTAAGTTGGCTTATAAAACCAAATTCTTTGAACTAATTATAGAAACAAACTTCAAATTGAAGCAGTTAAGATCCAAAACTAGGTTGTTGAACCAGAATAATTTGAATCCGTTGGTTTGATTCTTCGAGTTTTTCAATATTATCTTTATTACGTCCCGTGCCCATTGGGTTAACATAGTTTTGAAGCAATCATCAATTAAAATCTAAAACAACCTTAAGGATTTGCCAAAAAATCGTCATTTAGTTAAGTTTTTAATAAGTTTTTTGAAATTTTCTCTTCTTGAAATTGTTGTACGCAAGTCAAGGCAAGTATCAGGTGCATCTTCTTTAAAGTGTTGTACGCTTTATTTGGTTTTCCCAGGAACGCAATTCAATTGAATGATAATAACACATTTTAATTTTACCCACAAAACTAATATCATAAATGCAAATTAACTTGTTATAACTTATTAAGAGTGACTATTATTAAACTTTGAACATAGATTTTTTTGGGTTAATCAAGTAGAAAACAAAACCATAAATCAAGTATGAAAAGCAAATAAATCAAAAAATGAAATAATATGTGTACCTGTCAAAGAAAATTATAAGTTAAGAAAATTACGCATACTTACTGGAAATTCTGAAAATACTTAATATTAAATAATATTAAACTAGCAGTAAGCAACCCGGAATACGGGTTGTTAGTAAATAAAATTAAAAAAAAACCGCGTATAGAAACTACTTTAAAATGGAAAAGCCTAGAAAATGACGTAAGCCTAGAAAATGACGAAAGTCATATATATATACTTTTACATATATTAACTACTACTATTAAATTAGCGTATTAATATTATCAGATTAGAGAATTTTTTTTTTTAAGTTTGAACTTTATGCTTTATTTTGCTATACAATGATTTTTTATTCAAAGATATAATTAGTTTACCATAAGAACAGCCGCAAATAGTCATAAAGTCTAATCCAAAGTTTAAAGTTTCGTTTGACACTCTAACTAACTGAGCTATAGGGCCAAAAAAAGTTTTCGAGCATTCTATATCTACGTTCAAGAGATATATTAGTTTGTTAAACCCTTGATCTGTAACTAAAAAGTAAGACTGAATATATACACATATCATTTCTACAATAGGCATTGTCTCTCAGTTCACTAGATCAACATTATCTATGCTTATTAAGTTTAATCTATTTTAAAATTGATAAATTTTTCTGTAACAAAATTTAAGCATTTTTTTGTTGTTGTTTTAATAAAATTATTACAAGAATAATAAATTTTTTACGTATAGTAATTGCATACCTTCTAAACTTTGGTGTTAATTTACTTAATTGCATGAAGAATCCTAAAAAAAATTATAATACAAATTTAAAGCTAATTTTGGTTAAATTCTTATTTTTATTTCCTATATACTTTTTTTTAACTCACTTATTTTTTTTATTAATAATATTAGTTTATAAGGTTTTAATGGTTTTCATATTATTTTACCCGTTTTTTTATTAAAGCGCTTAATTAAAAAAAATTAAAATTTTAATAAGAACTTGAAATTTTTTTTTCTTTTCGTGTTGTATAGGTATTATATAAAGGTTAAATTCATTTTTTATAAAAATAAAGTATTATAATACAAAAGCTAAAAAATGTATTCTAAAAAAATTCTAGAAGTAATTAAAAACAAAATTATTTGGTTTATTAAGGGATCGTCCATAAAGTACGTACGCTCGGAGAGGAAGAGGGGTCTGCAAATAGTGTATATGAGATGAGCGAACATAAACGTGGGTGGAGGGGGGGGGTGAAGTAGTTGGCGGAAAAAAAGCGTACGTACTTTATGAACGACCCCTAAGGGATAAATATCATACTCTAATGAAGAAATCAGAAATATAATTAGAATTAAAGTTTTTCAGTTATTTAAGGGTTTTGGTTGTTAAAGTTATTTATAGACAGAGACAGATACTGGGTTTGGTTAGGGCAAGTAACATTTTAATAATGTTGATACTTGTTTTTTAAAGTATTACCATTATTAAAATGTTACTTGCCCTAACCAAATCCAGCATACCCTAACCAACCCAACCAGTTGTTTTTTTTAATTTTGTTTCATTAATATGGATGGGAGTTTACCTGGTTTGAATTATATAAGCGAAACTTTTAAAGATGGTAGTTCTCCTAGTACCAATAATATCTACTTCCAAAAAAGTTTTGTAGTAGATTTTCTTCTATTGGTATTTTGATTTTTATATGGCATCTGATATATAACCTAGAAATATCGCATCCAAAATTTTAGATGACAATCTTTTTCTAAAGATTGTATCGTTTGTGAAAGAGTTTTCGGTTCTGTATCGCAGCTGCTCTCATTTTTTTTTCATGTTTAAATTATATTGAAAATAAAATTAACAAATTCCTTATTTTAGATCTACGCCAGCATTGACAATTCGTTAACTAGAAACAAAACAAGCGAAGAACTTGAGCGTGCAAAAAGTAATTTACTTTCAGAAGAGACTGAGGAATGGAGAAAACATATTTATAAAGAAGTTGACGATCCTAAGCTTAAACATAAAAACAAAAAAAAGATAATTGCATGGGTTCCAGCAAAAATTGTAAAAGACAATACGGCATCGAAGAAAGAGCGTCTTTTCAGAAAAAGAAATATGCTTAAGTTAACCCCAATTGAAAAAAAAATGGCAGAAATCCTAATTATTGAAGGTCGCAATATAAAAAAGTTGCATGGAAAAAACTTGAAATATAACGATATAATGCGTAGCCATACTAAACGTAACCATACAATTGAAAACAAAAAAAATTTCAAGAATGTTTTTTCAAATGTAAACAAAACTATTACCGATAAAAAGCATTTTAAAAATGATGTCAATATCAAAGAAAAAAACGGGACATCTAATGTTACATTTGCCAGCGGGAAATTTCAAGCTAATTATATGAAGTTTGGAAAGCAACCAATCGTTGATGACAGTCGTATTAAAAAACCTATAAGTTTGATCGTTAGTAATTTAAATCAATTTAAAGTTTATAAAAATGAAGGTAAGGTTCAAGCTAATAACCATACTGTTCAAACCAAAATAAGCAGAAATAAAAACGCAAATCGAACTAAAACTGATTTTGTTAATAGTGCAAATCAAATCAAAACAGATGTTAATAACTTTAATCAATCGAACGTTTTCGAAACTGATGTTTATGAAAACCAAAAATGCTCGTTAGATGATTATCTTTGTCATTCTATTGATACGTCGCTAAAACGCGAAGAAATCCTTAAGCAAAGAAAAGTTATTAACGAGGGAGAATTAAAAAATGTAGAACGATCAACTGAGCAAACGATAGATAGTACAATTGAAAGTTCTAAAAATAAATTAAACGACACAGTCAACATTAAAGTAGCTAAAGCAGAGCCTGAGTGGTACAATCAGTCCAAAAATAAAAATAAACTACAAGAGTTAAATGAAGTAAGAGATATCAACAAAAAGATAGTTAACAATAATAGAGAAAACGATATTATCGCAGAAGAAAAAGAAAATTTAGCAAGTAAATCGGATGACAGTTATGACCAAAGAGTTGAAGCAAGTATTGCTACAACAAAATATAGAGATTATATTGATGACGGATATAATAACCAAACAATAAATAATCAAACCACCACCAAGGAAAACAAAATAAACGCAAATGAATCACCCTCCAATATAACAATAAAAAAAACTGACCATGATAGTTTCATGAAAAATATTCAAGCAATTAACTTATTCAAAGAAAACAAAAAAGTTCAAAACATTTTGAAAAACAATGATATTGCAATTTCTAATAAAAAACCAAAAGTAGAAAATATTGTCCATGTGTACATAGAAAAACGTCCAATAAAAAAAATCAGTAAACACCTAACTGTTACAAATGAAAAAACATTAACACATTTTAACAAAACGCTTACAAACCATAAAAAAAGTAGAAAACACTCATTAGCTAGTAAATTAACTGAAGATGAAATAGAAAAGTTAATTGTTGCTGCAAACGCTCTCAAAAGCATTGACATAAACAGTCTTGTAAATGGTGTTAAGCAAAAGCACCACAAAAAGGTTTTCGAAAACAAGCATTATAAAAAGTTACGACACAAACAACTTTTGCAAAAAGATTTAACACCGGAAAATCTTGTTGAAACTGGAGAAAAAGAAGCGGCGACCAAAAACATAGAGATCAAATCTGGCAGTGTAGAACCACATTTGATGAATGTTACGGTTACCACAGACCAACCGTTTTTTAATGCAAACAAATCAATGTTTATCGATCAAGCTGAAAAATCAATTTCAGACAAGAAAATACCATTTCTAAACACGACGGAAGTCAAAACTTCAAACACAGGCCAAACGCTATATGATTCATATGCTATAAACAGAGAGACACAACTTCTAACTGAAACAAAAGAACAACCTGTAGAAATATATAAAAAAAAAGCAAAAGCAGACGTAAAAAAAATGGTTGAAGAACAACTGTTGCTAGCCGAGAAATTTAAAGCCGAGGCTGAAGAGCAAGTTGAAGGAAAAGCTAATGAAAGTAAGTTAATGCAAGAAGACAGAGGGGAAGTGCTTACAGAACATCAAGGGAAGGGAGAACAAGAAAAATCAGCTGCATTACAGAATGAAGCTCTTGCTGAGCAAAATATACGAGTGGCTGAACTTCAAATTGAGAAGTTACAAAATGATGAGAAGTTAAAAAATGAATTTAAAAGTCAACAAAAACACGAAGATACTCCCATTTTAGAAACCACGTACTTAAACACCAATAACGATAAAGAAAAGAAAATAGCAAGCAACATTATGTCCCCAATTCAAACAGAAACAACGGAACTACTCAAAAAACCTATTAGTAAGTTTAATCCTCATGAAAATTTTGTAGTTTTGGATTCAAAATTGAACGTACCTATTCAAGATGTTTTAAAAAATATTGATAAAAAAGCACCAATTGTAAAAATTAAAGAAGATAAAAAAACACCGCCGAAATCCCTAATAGATCCGGAGGGTATTACAAACGTCTATACTATTTTGCAGAGCAATATTACGTCAGTTCTTTCAGATACCGATAAGCCTTTACAAAAAGAGTCTTCTGAAGCAGAAAAATCTCTTAAACAACCGTCTTCTGAAACAGAAAGTCTTTCAAAATTAATTCGTTTAATGAACTTAGAGGAATTCAGCTTCAATCAAAACAAAGATAACACCACTTCACAAAATTTCACATTAGAAAACGAAAAAACCAAACTTTTAACAGATTTTAAAAGTCCTGTTATTGTACCTCAAAATAACACTTCTATTGTTATTAAAAACGTATCAAATGATTCCAATTTTACCTCATCGTCTCAATTTACAAATGTAGAACATAATAATATTTTTTCAAATACAATGTTGGAAAAAGAACTGTTAGCTTTAGTTCCTTCTACAAATGCTATATATCATCCGAGAAAAAGCCCTACAGAGGTTTTTGTTTCAAGCGTTGAAGATGTACCAGATAGTGGAGCATCAATAAACGGAGAATCAACAATTGGAAAAACAACAACAGAAGGTGGATCAACCATCACTATGGTTGGCGCATCAACCACAAATGGCGCTACAAACCTTGGTTCAACAGCAACAGAGAGTAACGGAAAAACTGTATCAAATGTGAATCAAGCCACATCTATGATAAATGAAAGTTTCACACAATGGATAAAATTTCCTAACGCTACGGTTAATTCCAGTAAGTTGTTTCAAACGAAAAATGAGTCCTCAAACTTAATTCCATCAATTCTTGAAAATGCTCTAAAATCATCTCCTGGCGAAAACCGCAATATTGAAGATGAAAACTCTAATTTAGAGAAAACAGAGAGTATTGACTTTATAAACCCACCAATTAATATAGCACTTCCGGATCATGTAGCTAAATCCAAATCTAGAGAAACCAAGCCGTTTCATCGTGGTGCAATGTTGCTCTTGCCAGCTGTAGAAAAAGTAGCAAACTCAATATTGGAACAAAAACCCAATGAAATTACAAAAAACCAGCAACCATCTGAAGAACAAAACTCCGTGAAAGAGCTTACAAAAGATGTCAGTGGTGCCATGGAAGAATTAGAAACATTGATGAAAAAAAAAACTGAAGAAGTAAAAAACCATCTATGATTAAATCTTTTATATTTTACTTTTATATTTTATAATACAATTTAAAATAACGTAATTTTTTATGGCAACTTCTGGCAAGCTAACTAAAAATTAGTTAATGATTTTTGTTACTAATTGAATTTTTTTAATTAGGTTAACAAAATTGTTAGACAGAATGAACATAATCCCTTAAAAGTTGGTCGTTCTCACCAGACATCACAGGTAAAATTTAGTATATGCATATATATACATATATATATATATATATATATATATATATATATATATATATATATATATATATATATATATATATATATACATATATATATATATATATATATATATATATATATATACATATATATATATATATATATATATATATATATATATATATATATATATATATATATATATATATATATATATATATATATATATATATATATATATATATATATATATATATATAGAGAGAGAGAGAGAGAGAGAGAGAGAGAGAGAGTATAGTTTTAATTACTTTGAACAAAAAAAAGTGATGGATATATCTGTTTCAAAAACTTTAACTAGTTTTATTTTTATTTAGTAAATATACACAATTTATTCAATGCACACCATCATGCTCCAACACGCAATATGCAACGCAACAACTAATTTTTATCATACATATGTACGAACAATTATTCGACTAAGAATTTCGATTTTAACAGGGTGTAGATAATGTAGAGAGTGTTGAATTCAATGCTATTAAATCCGATCGACCCACAGATTCTAGTTTGATATTAGCTCAAGATAAAACATATAAAAATGAGTTCTCAACGTTGTTAAGCAAACGAAATAAAACAGTAGAGTATCCTCAAGAGGATGATTTTGGTAAAGTTCAATACGAAAATCGATTAAAAATTAAAAAGTTTATTCAAAACCTTAAAAGCAAATTAAATGGCGAGGAATTAAAAAAACTGGTTAAAGCCAGCGATCTATTAACAAGAAAACTAAAAAGTTTGCGAGAAGAAGTTCAACAAGGTCAATTTATAAAAAAAAATACAACACAAAAATGGGGTGATTCTTTAGATGATACTAAAGTAAATAATAATCAAACCATTGCAGATTTGGACAAAAATGAATTTAAGATTAACGACTCCATTCCAAATAACAAAAAAAAAATAGTGTCTAATGAAAATGATGTTCAAAAGATCCAAGCAAATTATAGTACAACAGAAACGAATACTCTTACATTAAACGATAGCACAGTGGAACCCAGAAATAGCACAGATAATTCTAAGATCAAACACGATAAAGCAGCAATTAATTTTTTATCTTTGACCACAGATAATAAATATTTTATATCTGGATTACCCTATTCTAATAAATCGTTTGTTGCAAACGAAGAGATTGATAATGATTTAGCTATTCGCAAATATTTAAAAGAAAATATTCGACAACACAACGTACCAACATTGTTAGCAGAAGAGCCTGCGAGTGAAATTATTAACGAAATTAAAACGGACATATTGAAACAAAAACATATTAACGACGAAATGGAAAAACAAAATAAGTTATACTACGCTAATAATTTAACTGATTCAAGCGATAGCGAAACAAAGAAAATAAAAAATGAAACAATTGACGAAGCAGAAGAAGTGAGCAGTACACATGACACACCGACACTCTCCGTATCAGCAACACTTTCAAGATTTGGAAAGTTAAATAACTCTGGTAATGACCAAGAATCAGGTGATTCCCCTGCTGTAAAATACTCAAACAAGAGATTCAATGACTCAATAAATATTTTGCCGACTTTAAGATATTTAAGAGAGAGATTTAATAATTCAAGTGATTCGTCAAATCTAAAGTATATAAGTGAGACAATATATAATTCAAACGATTCATCTGTTTCAGGATACTTAAGCGAAAAATTAAATAATTTAAGTGACTTGCACGCTCTAAGATACATCAGTGAGAAATTAAATAATTCGAGTGATTTGCATGATCATAACATAAGGGCAAATTTGAACAATTCGAATGATTCGTCTCTATTAGGATACTTAAGTGAGGGAGATTTGAATGAAACAAACAATGCAAGCAGAAATTTTTTTCTTAACAAACTTATCATGGGAATAAACTTACCCGAACTTCAAAACGATCTAGATCAATTATCTGCAATCAATAGTACTTTTGGTAAAGATGTGTACCAAAATTCAACTCCGACATCAGACGAAGTTTCGAAACAGAATGAGACTGTCTTTCAACACGTTAATAATGGATTTACAATAATAGAAAACTCATCCAACAGCGAAGTGGCTGACTCGTTGATTAACCAAAAAACAACTATTGATCCATATTCAACATTTAAAAGAGGATACGTTGGTAATAAAAAATCACTTATGTCAAGACCAAATTTAAGTAAAATAGATCGCAAAATGAAAAAAAATTTATTCAACAAGAAATATATATACCCTCTTGGAAAATTCCAACAAAAACTCGACCTTGGCACAATGAATAAAAAAGTGCTTCAAAGAAACTGGGTTATTTCTAATCGAAATCCAATATTAGTTCCCCATAAAAATATAAATAACTATTTCGTAAAAACCAATCCTATTTTAAAAAATGTTTTGCGAAAGCCGTTTCGACAAAACATCTCAAAAATACAACTTCAAAATCAATATCTTCTTAAATTGCGCGAACAACAAGCTATACAAAAACAAAGAGCAATGGCAGCTAAGCTACATGCTCAACAAAACGCTTACAAATGGAACCAATACAAAGCTGCTTTGCTGAGACAGCACTTTCAGCAACAAGCTAAAAAACCTAATTTATACCAACAGTACTATAGCCCGATTCTTCCTCAATATTATGGACGTATTGGAAATGAGAGAATGACTGTGTTTCCTAATATAAGAGTATCCAGAGGACCTCAACCCATAAAACCTTCGTTTTTATACGGAATATAAGTACCGATTATTTGATGGATTTTTTATATAAACCTTTTTTATTGTATTTTTAATATTTTTTTATAGCAAAAGTAAAATAGAAAATATCTTCTTGTTTAACTGAATTTAATAGTTAAATATTAAACTGTACGAATTTCTATGGCAAATCTATAACTAGTTCATCATCTTCATCTTCCGTAGAAGTATCAATACGCGAGCTGTAAAAAAAAAAACGCAAATTAACTGCAATCAATTAAATCTGAAAAACAGTTTTAAAATGGATGCAAATAAAATAAATTAAAAAACAAACAAATGGGAGAATAAAACGACATAATATAGTTTAAAAACTAATACCTAGCTTCCATTGCCTCTCTGATTTGGCCTATGTCTTTACCCCCGGTTGGAGGGTAAACGCGTTTCTGAAACGAGAAATAAAAAGCATCAATTAAAAGCAATAAACAGCGCATTTCGAGTTATAACTAAAAAGTAATAATAAAATTTAAAACAAATGTACTTTTAGTTTAGTGGTAAATATACAAATATAAGTAAATATACATATAAAATACATATAAAAATAAAGTATATGTAATTGTTAATGTAAATGTGCATTAAACAAGTTTAAAAACAAACTATTAAGTAAAAATTGTAAAAAAAACAAAAAAACTTTAAAGATTATAACGGATTCATTAATCGAAATCTCTCGCCTGTACGATCCCTTCTTTAACTTTTGTTTTTGTCTAGTACTCGTCTGTACGATCCCTTCTTTAACTTTTTTTGTGTTTGAAAATAAATATTTTTCCCCAATTTTTAAAAAAATGTTTAAAAATATGAATTTATTACTTTCACCTTGCACCCAGTATCTTTATGCCACATTTCATATATTCTGTTTTTTACTTAAAATTTTTTTTTTTTTTTTCTGCGTCTAAATTAACCTAAATTTACAAGTAATTTGTAAATTTAGAAGTAATTTGTAAATTTACAAGTAATTTTTAAATTTACAACTTGTAAATATGATAAATAAGGATGACAATTTATGAAACTAATATTGTAAATTGATCAAACTTCATATCACTTCATAAGTAATAAAATATTGATTATAAAAGTTATTGTTTCACATTCACATATTTCTTTCTTGATGTATCATAAATATCTATATTGAAGGCCTATTTATCGCGCAATCATAGCCTAGGGCCTATTATAATAGTTTTTTAAAATGCAAATACGAAAAGCCCACACATTGAAAAGCTTTCAAGAAATTTTAAACCCCCTTCAATTTGAGGGGGTTGCAAACTTTATATGGTCATAACTTTTGAACACTAATATATTTTAATACGAAATTTAAAATTTCTCGATGAATATAAGTCTAGTTGAAAATAGTACAAAAAATATTTAATCAACTTGTTGCCCTCACGTTTGGGGCATGGGGGGGGGGAAGGGGCTTTGATTTTAGAGTTTCTTGTTCCCATTCTCCTATCACAGTTATTTTAAAAAGAATCTTTTCATCGTAAATATAAACGTAAGAAAATTTGGAATATTCTTGTTGTTTATAAGTTGGTTATTTCAAATATTTAAAAACCTTCCTACGCCACTGGCAATAACTGTACAATGCTAAATGTTTTTATAAATGTATCTGGCAGTGGCGGATTAGGAGAGGCCATTTTATGGGCCAGAGCCTAAAAATGACTAAAAAAAAAAAAAAAAAAAAAAAAAAAAAGATCTTCTAAAATTTTTGGGGGCCCCTAAATTTGCAGGGCCCGGGGCTATAGCCCCCCCCCTCGATCCGGCACTTATGTCTGGTTATGAAAACAGCTGTTTAACAAAAGGTAGCTCAAACATTTAAAATTATACTTTTATTATATAGGAATTTTATTTAAAACACAATTCACAAGTATTTATAATAAACTTGTTAAAAACTTATTACTATCTATAAATAACTCTGAGTGAAAAGCTAAACTAAACCATTTAGACTCTATCTACCATTTTGCTTTCTCTTATAACCTTTTAGACGCCTTAGTAAAGAAAAGTTTGTAATGATTCGGTATTATTAGATTGGAGCTCATTTTTAAAATTCAGCCGGTTAAGTGAAGTTCAAACAAACTTACCATAAGTCAAACTTACGTAATAAAGCATTTGGTTTGGCAATAATGAATAAGCCTAATAAAGCCTTTGGTTAAATAAAAGGCTTTGGTTAATTAAAAAATATGGTCTTTTCAACTAGTATAACAAGCTTTATAACACTTTATACAGCTTTTAATGCTTTTAATTCAAACATCTTTTAATGCTTTTAATTCAAACTATAAAAAATTATTACTTGCTTGCACAATCATACAATTAAAAGAGTTATATCAAAAGCATTTCTTGATATACGAAGTACAACAGTAAAATCAAAACTTGTTAATAATTTCAGTAGAGAAGAAGCAGTAGCAGAGGTTGCACGATTAAATGTTCTATTGATATTCAAAGACATTCTTCAATACAGAAAACCAATAAAAAAAAATTTTGTAAGGTATTCATACCATGATTTCACAATTCATTATATCCAAAGAAAAATCAGTAATAACTTTTATTAAAACACTAAATAAACAATTTTTTCCTTTATGTCTGAATTATAATTTTTAGTACTAAAAAACGTAATGATTGTTTAGAAAAGGGCAGAAAAATCAATTAAAATTCTATCCTAACTTAAGACGAAGATAAGGCCATTGGAAAACAAAGCCGATAATTCTACCAAGTCGATTCTCATAACTCTCATATGGTGATAAACTATATGGCTAAACAATAATTTATAATTAATCCTAAGTCCGAAACCTGGGTATAGACATTCTATTTTTTTTTTTCCACAAATGCTTGATTATCCAAGAAAACCAAGGATCGAAGACTAGTTTTTATAGATACAATGTTAAATCTCTGCCATTCTTGCTTGTATCCAAAGGATATTGTGATACCAAACAATATTGTGATAAAAAAAAGATATTGTGATACAAAAAATTCTACACCATTAATATAATAAGAAAAAAATCATATTCTGAAAAAAGGATTTTTCATAATTTTTGATCTCCAATTTTGTCATCAACATATTTTTATGTAACCACACTCCGTGTAAAGACTACATTAAACTTAAGTACAAAACAATTATTTAACAAAGTGTGAAATATTGAAAACCAAGTTAGAGTATAATTTGAATCAATTAATTTAAATAGTTTTCAAATTCCAAAATAAATAACTATCAGAATTCATTCAAAAAGAAATGTCTATATCTTTTAAAAATATAAAAGATAAACATTTTTTGTTTGTTTGCATTTTTCTATTAACTATACTGAAAAACAACTCTCTTACCTCTATTTATAACTACATATATAAATAAAAATATCATTTAAATTTCTTGAAAAGAAAAATTTTATTTAAGCAAAAAAAAAAAAGAACAAAAAACAGTTATTTTTTGTTTTCATTTTGCTTTTATTTCATTAAGTTGTTTGTTAATTTTTAAGTTAAGAAATTTTATTTAAACAATATGTAGTAAAAAGTAAAAAAATTTTTTAGATAAAATTTTTATTAAATTAATGGAAATAATTTTTATTTCCATTAATTTTATATTATTTTGATGTAACAGGGAAACGTGTGTGTTGTATATATGTAAATGTTTATGGTGAAAAGATTATGCAAAGATTTTTTTTTTAATAAAAAATCAATCAAAGCAAGATTAACTATACTTACTACACTGTTATTATGGTAATTGTTACTACATTATGTTACTAAACAAAGTTTAATCAAATTAAAAGACAGGTTTAATAACAAACTCTTACCACAGATGACTTTTTTAGCGAAGCTAAAAAATTAATATTTATTGTTAAGAATATTATTAAAAAATAATAACCAAGAATATAAAGAAAATAATTAAAAGTTGAAAATATTTTAAATTAAAAACATACAACTATTATCAGTCATTTGTTGCCTGTGAATAAAACAGATTCCTGACTTTATTTTTGTGCTGACTAGTTTTGTGCACTGTTTGCCCTAAATAAAAAATCAAAGCAACTATAAGTAAAAATAAATAAGTATTCAAAAAAAAAAAAAAACTGGGTTGATAGGGCCATCGGGCATAGGGCATCTTTAGATCTGAAAAATGATTGGAATATCAATATAAATGATGATTATGATGATGATGATGATGATGATGATGATGAATTAGCAATATTTTAATAATTTTATATATAATAAATTAAAATCACTATAATTTAAAAAAAATTTACTTATTACTACATATAATTTAAAGTACACTTGTAAGTAGTGTCACTGGGTTTAAAGTGGTGTTGATAGATATTAGGTGGTGTTGCTGGGGTTTTAAAAGGTGTTTTAAAACCCCTAAAGTAAGTAAGTTTTAAAAAAAGTATTCACAGAAATACTTTAGCATGTAAATTGTTAAAAAAATCTTAAATAACTAAAAGTAGTCAAAAATTAGGATTCTGTATCTGACAAAGAGATGTTGACATAGGGATTCTGTATCTAGCAAAGTGATGTTGACAAAGTGATTCTGTATCTAACAAAGTGTTAGATATTACAAATTTTTACAAATAATGGAATTATGAACTTGTAGGCAAACAAAAAGGTTACTTTTTTATGTTTAAGGAAAGTTGCAAGACAAGATAAAGTTAAAATATAATTTGTGTAGAGTTGGCCATACCAGAGAGGTGGTCACACCAGAGGATGAAAATCAATAGATATTTTAAATATACATGCTTTTTTAAAGTGTGTACAGATAAAAAAAAATATATATATTAGGTGTAGAAATAACTGCACTTGGTGGAAGTGTAACCAGTTCAATTAAATGTTTGAAATAAGAAAACAAAGATTTAGACAATATTATGACTTAAATCAAGTCAAAATCTGAAAAAGTAACCTCACTTACTCCAGGGAATTGGATAATAAAGAAAACTCAGAAGTATTTTTTAACTCTAAAAAGATCTGTAAAACAAGCAAGAGAAATAAGAAAACAAAGTGTAAATCGAAAATTTCCAAAAAATTGAGAAATAAACAAAGTTCTAGTTGTCAAGCTATTTGAATTCTATGCAATCAATATTTCATTGTAAATGGTTTTTACAATGAAAAACTAGTTAAATGGTCAATGAAATTACATGTTTTACATTTCCTTTTACAATGAAATTACATGACTACATTGGCAATTGTTTGATGAAAATAAAAGTGTTGAAGTTAATTTTGATCAATGGCATTAATCAAATTTCTAATTTAAAGTCAAGCAATTTAATTTTCAAACAACAATTTACAAGAACGACATTTTACATCAAAAAGTCACCTACTTCCAACATTTGAAAAAAGAAAAACTTGTTTTTAGCTTTCCTTGGCTTTGCAAAAAACTTTTTCAACACAGGATGATGTGCAAGGTTTTTACTAAAATAACAGCCAGGAGGATTTGCACCCCTTTGTTGATTGTTTTCTAAAATATGAAAATCTTGATAGTTAAAGCTACGGTGATAATATTGACTTAAAAGAAAGCAATGAAATTAAATGATTGTTTGCAAAATTTAATTTTTATAAAATTTTTATACTTTTGTTCACATTGTTTTAAACTATAATTTCAAGACATTAATATTATTTGTTTTTATGGAAAATTTGCAAAATATTTAGAGACTGTTTTTCAGGATAAAAAAGTTTCTATTAACTATTTTAGTTTTTATTAATAAAACTCTTTGACTGATATGTATAAGAAAATTTAAGGAAAAAAAAAAGTTACTTTCTTAGGTAACAGAATGCAGATTCACAAAACTTTCCTAACTCTTGTGTAACTTACGGAAACCGAGTACAAATTTATTTTTCGTATCTACTTGGTATTCACAAACATTTCACAGGGTTTGCATAAAGTTAAGGTTGCACCTTAGATTTTTTAGGTAAAACAAAGTAAATTATAAACAAATGAGAAATCATTTGTTTACATTTTTAACTAAAATAAACAAGGTAGTATAAATTTATCAATAGAGCAACTATTATATACCATATTATATAACTACTTTTGCAATTAATATAAACTTTCTTTTAAGTTTCAATCTAAGAACATTGTTAATTAGTGAAAATAAAATTAAACTTGACAAACAAATAAGAAATGAAGTTTAAACAATATTTAAAGGGATTATAAATACATTTAAAACCTCTATGAAAATATGCTTTATTTGAGACTCAGAATGACACAAGTTATCATTCACTTTTAAATAACTTTTTTTTTGACAATATTATGAACTTTAACCCAAATGCTGAGAAATACTATATCAAGTCGTATTATTTGTTCAGCAACAGAAAATTTTTGTTGTTGTTGGCCTGTGCAACCATTAAAAGGAGTTATAAATTTAGAAATTAGTTAAAATGTTAGTCAGGGCTTTTAATGATTTATAATCTAGTTGAATGAAAACTAATATTAAAGTATTAATTACTATCTTTAATAAATATTTAATAACTATTAATAAATATTTAATAAGCTTAATAACATCTATTTAATAACTACAATAAGGTGTTCAAATTTCTAAAAATGTTTATTTTCAACATATTTTATTGATTTTTTTTTCAAATAATATTTAAAAATTGCATTAGAAAAAAAAAATTCAAATTTGGACCCTAAAAAAGTCAAGAGATTTATCGATAGGTATTGATATTAGACATCTGCGTCTTCTTGTATCCTTTCGGAAGTTTGGATTGTCACAGTAGAAAATGATAGCTTTCGTTTTGTACTGTTTTTATGAAACAAAAAAATATTATATCGTTTTGTATCGTATTTTTACAAAACAAGTAAAGCTTTTTTCATTTCATACTGTATATTTATGAAACAAGAAAATTGTGTTTCATTTCTTATCGGTTTTACGGAACGTTTCATAATTCTCCTACTCCAAACAGATATTTTCCAATTCCCATAATTCATGCAATTTATTAACTATAACATTTAAGCAGAACAAACGCGTGTTTAATACTCAATAACTTAATGTTTTGTAAACAAAAGTTTAACTAAAAAGTTTAACTTTATTTCATTTCGTATCGGTTATTTCGTACTTTATTTAGTATTATCTTATTTTGTTTCGTACCGGTTTTTACAAAATAAAAATTATTGTTTCCATTTGTACCATATTTTTCACGAAACAAAAAAATTTTGTTTCATCTTGTATCATTTTTTGCAAAATTGTATAATAATTGTTTCGTTTCGTACCGGTTTTATCAAAATAATATTTTTTATTGTTTTGTCTCATTTCGTCTTGTACCATTTAGAGATGCAGATGGTTAATTGAGATAATCATAGATTCTATTAAAGCTTAAACTTTCAGTGTTTAATTAAAATGTAGCAAGATATTCATTGAGGCAAAATTATAAAGTTAGTTTAAAGCATGAAGATGTTATAGCACGAACAACTAATTGGCCAAAATTTATCTCAAAACAGCTCACTTTAGAACCTCTTATCTCCGTTCAAAAATAATAAAAAAAAAATTGCATCCATGCAATGAGTTTATCATATATAATACTACAACTATTTTAGTTTATCATATATATTACTACAACTATAACAATGACTCAAAATTTCAAAGCACCATAACGAGTAGTTCTCAAGTTATTTATTGCAGTATGCTAAAAAAATGGCATTCTGAGAAAAAACCAGTTTAAGAAAAGAAAATTTCTAAAGATAATCACTCCTCAATGTAAGAATTTTATTTCATTTCTAAAGATTATCACTCCTCAATGTAAGAATTTTATTTCATTTCTAAAGATTATCACTCCTCGATGTAAGAATTTTATTTCATTTCTAAAGATTATCACTCCTCGATGTAAGAATTTTATTTCATTTCTAAAGATTATCACTCCTCGATGTAAGAATTTTATGAAAGCAATAAAAGTTTTTTTATAAGCTTCATTCAACTATTTAAGTTACATACAGAAATTAATATTCATGCAAAACTAAAAAAATGTTAAAAATTATAAATAAGTATTCTATAAAATGCAAAAATTATGGTAACCTAATTATAAATTTCAATAAAAATATCAAATGGAAGATTGAATTAACTAAAATCACTAAAAAAATTCCAGCAAGTTATTCCATCTCTTTCTTTATCTTGATCAATTTGAACTTTTCTTTTTGGTTTTCAATTTTGTTCAACTTTTCAATTTGTTTCCAATGATGGTTTAATTTATCACTTGATTTTTTTGATTGCAAAATGTTTTATAAAAGCATTTAGACCATACTTTTATATTTTGATATTTTTAACCTCCTGAAAGTATTTTACTATAGATCCTAATTTTTTACTGACATTTATAATCAAAATTAACTAATATTAGCCAAATAAAAATACAACTTCACTATTTACAAGAATATATTTTTTTAATGAATTTAAGTTATGCATTATAAATATATTTTATTAAACATAAAACTACTCAAATTAATCTGTTAATAAATTTATTGAACTTAATATTGGAAATATTATTTTTTATATTAATATTGGGAATATTATTTTTTCCCTTCAGACTGGAAGTTTAATTAGCACCAATTTACAGCTTATTTATTTGTACTCACACACAAACAAACTTCAAGCAAACATTATTCTAATAGAATAAAATAAGAAATCTTTTAGAACTTGCATAAAATTTCATCTTTTACACTGATACTAACAAATCGTCAAAATGTAAAATCAGAATAAATAGCATACAAATTTTTATCAGAGTATGTTGTTGCAAAATGACATTATAAAATGATATAAAATATAAAACATATAAAAAAAGTTAAAAACTATACTTATTATTAAACTTTAACAAAAAGTTTAAAACTAAAAACTAAAGAATAATTTATAGGGACTTTAAAAATTATAGCAATAAATTTTTACAAAAGAAGTCAGAAATATCTGAGCTGAGCAAATATTTTAAAGTTACGCTAAAGTTAAGGTAGCTTCTACCTAACTTTCCTTGCTTAAATCAAGTTAAGCATTTTCTGAAGATGTTTTGTCAATACCATAATTTAAGAATTGAACTTATGAAAAATAAATCGTTTTGTATCAAACCAAGTTTTGTGAATACGAAATTAAGTTTAGAACTTACGCCACACTTACGCTTAAAAATGTTTTCTGAATGCGCACTAAGATGTTTTCCAATCAATTAACAATTTAAATAATGAATCAATTAAAAAGATTCTTTGCATTAGGGATCAACATAAAAAAACGCTCTTCATCTCACTTTGATGACTTATAACTTTTGTATGCATCTCTCAACTTTTTTAAAAATGTTTATCCACCTTGAGTAGATTAACATCCAGTTTGATATGAAGCACCTTTTATATAACACAAGACAAAAAGGGTTAGTGATATATAACAAAAAACTTTGAAAATGAGTCTAACAACAAAAACTTATGCAAAACAGATCAGGGCATACTTACGCAAAACAAATCAGGGTTCAAATGAAGCGTGTCTATCATATTAAATATACTTAATATGCTAAAAGACATTTACTAAAAAAAGTTAGCCATAAAAATGTTTTTATTTATATCTTATATGTTGTTAACACTCAATAAGGTTCTTATTAATGTCTAATATCTTATATGTCATAAAAATGTTTCTATTTATATCTTATATGTTGTTAACACTCAATAAGGTTCTAATTAAAAATTATTTTAACAAAAAATTTCCAATAGAATATGAAAAATGCAAAAACATTTTTTTTTTTATTTTTATTTTATTTAAAGGGATATCAAGATTAAACATTTTCTATAAATACACAAATTGTTTTTAGAAATTTTTTTAAAAAGAAATCTATTTTAACAAAAGAATTTTTGTCTTCTAAAATTTTCTTGTTCAAATAATCTTGAAATAATAAATTTAAATAAAATCTAAAAGAATTTTGCAAATTTTTAACGCTTGCTTACAATAATTATCAATTTAATTGAATGGAGACTCCAGCGACAGCCATAATACCTAGTGGCATAGTGAGGATCATTCCTGAAAACCAAACATATATCCATCTACAGTAATAATAATATAGATTTAGAAAATAGGGCTAGGGAGGAAGAAAGTTTTAAGTCGTAAAGATGTTTAATAATAAAATTTTTTTTGTAAACTTTATTTTTTGTTTCTTGAGATTAGTTAAAAAAGTAGAGAAATTCTATTGCAAATATTAAACGTGAAAATAATAATTAAAGTTAAATAAAAACTAAACTATAAAAAATTTAAATTTAAAAAAATAAACAATTCTAATTCTAATCAAAACAAAAAACAAAAATTGAATTTAAGCACATACTTAGACTTACGTAAATTATAATTATAAAAAAAATACATATATAAAAAAAAAAATTTGATTCATTAAAACAAATTTTTTTCTCTAACTTTATTGCAAAACAATTTGAATAAAAAAATTGAATGAAAATACTACCTCAATAACCCTTTGAATAAAAAATTAATTATACTTAAATTTTTAATAGTATGCTAGATCAAGAAGCAATAAACTACTAACAACAAGGTATCTAGTAAGTTTAATATTTTTTGTGTTTAATCATTTGTTTTTTTGACTTGATCTTACTTGTTTAGTCTATAAATAAATGTTTTTGCACAAATATTAAGTTTAATGTTTTATATTGTTTTCATCTATTCTAATTTAAATAGTTTTTTACTTTGCTGTATTTGTTTCGTGTTTTTAATCTTATAAACTGTATAAAATAGAAATAAAACAACATAGCTAAGTTGATTTTATATTAAAACAACATAACTAAGTTTTTATATTAAAATAAATTTTATATTAAAATAGAAATAAAACAACATAAGTTGATTTTATATTAAAATAGAAATAAAACAACGTAGCTAAGTTGATTTTACATTAAAATACGTTTTTTATATTGACAAAACAACTTTTTAGTATTGTTTTTTTGTTGTTTTATTACTGTTTTATTGTTGTTTTATAAGCTTTTCACAATAAAAATTTAATACAATTTAAAAATAAAATTTTATTGTCAACAGTATTAAAAAGATTTTTTTATAACTCTTTAAAGTAGTTTAAATATTGTAATATTTACTTTTACTTTTTTAAGTTAAATTTTTATGTTAAGCAAAAACAATTACTAAAAGTAATATCATAACAGTATTAAATACTGTTAATTATTAAAAAGCTGTAAATTATAACAGTACCTTAAGCTATTTTAAACCCCACCAAACAAGAATATAATGAGATGTATTTAAATATGAGAGATTATGTTAACAAAATAGCAAACTTATATGCAAAAGACATAATTTTTTACTAACACAAAACCCTTTACTGCAAAATATCAGACAAGATAGTGGAAGGGGGAGGGGGAAGGGAGGAAGAGGGCATTTCAAAAAAAAAATTTTGAAATTTTTTTTTGTGTTAATTGCAGATAATAAAGAATATGATATATTGCATATAAAATTAGATTATAAAAAAAAAAACTGTACTCACATTATCTGTATGAGTGCATCGCACTTTCTCCATATCACTAACTGAAACCTGGAAAAAAATTCATCTTGAGGAAAATATAATTTCATAAGTTCTTTATAAAAAAGCAAAATTTTTTTAAAAAAAAACAGTTTAACAAAATATGCAAAGCAAGCAGATTTGCAGTAAACCACATCAGAATTGCAGTAAACCAACAGTAAACCACATCAGAATTGCAGAGTCTCAATTTATTATAAAAAATTAAATTGCAAGAATCTCTGATAATTCTGGGATTAAGACTATTTATTTATGGAAAATAATATTTGGAATATAAAACATTTCTTAAGAAAAGAAACATCATTTTATATAAAAATATATAGTAGTAGAAAGATTCCTCATTTTTTGTAAAATCTTCTTTTTATATGGAATTATCTATTTTATAAATATACATTTTTTCATTACCTCACTTGACTTTTTATTGCAGTACTTATCTGTTTAAGAAGCACTTTTTTGTTTAATATCACAATAACTACACTTTTTTGTTTAATATCACAATAACTACACTTACATTTTTAGATAATTTGTTTTTTGCTAAGTTTGTTTTGTTATTTGATTTTTCTGAGAATTTATTTGATTTCTCTGAAGAGTTTGATTGAATATTGGTGTTGTGATTTAATTGAATATTCTTTTGAGTTGAGCTAAGAAAAATTAAAATTAAAAATTATCATAAATTTCAAAAAAAATTCTACAAAAAAAATATACAATACACTAAAACATCAATTAGACTGTTTTCTTGTCTTATCATCTAATTAAATATAATATAATTATATACCCAATCCAATTATAATAAAATTGAACAGCCAATCCAATGTCCTCTAATTGAGTATCCAAAGCTTTAAAGGATAATAAAAGAAACCAAAACCTCTAATGATCCCCTCTAATGAACTTTGCTGTTTATTAAAACAACAAAATATTTTATAGAAGTAGTTTTAAACTTCAATAACTTTGCATTTTATGGAAAAATGCTTTATGGCATCTAATCATATTATAATAATAGACATGAATAATATTATTTGGTTAAAATAAACAAAATTTTTGATTTTAAATTTTTAGTACATTTGTTGAAATCAATATATCTAAACAAAGTCATACATATACCTAAACAAAATAAGCCATAAATATATCTAAACAAAATAAGTCATAAAACATCTAGATAACACCCAGCAACACTAGTAAAAAAAAGGTTGGCATTCCAAAATCAAATGCAAAAGTTTAGTTTCCAAATAAAATGACAAAAAACTTTAAAATAGTTAAATAAATAAATTTTTTTTTTAATTTAATAATCTTTTTTAAAACTATATACCAGGCCTATAAAGTTAATAAATAAAAAATAAAAAAACTAAACTCACATTTTCTTTTTCTTTTTTGTTTTGTTAATTTCTTTCTGTTAAAAAACAAGATTAATAAAAACAATAAGTACTCACATAAATTAATATCCATATTTAATAAACATACTTTTTCAATAACTTTTTCTTCCTTTTCATTGGAGGATGAATCAGTGTTTTCATCATCTAAATAAATTAATTTTATTTACAATATCTATGTTCTATATTTCATTTTTTATTTTAATATTTCTTAATTATTCATTAAGTTTCATTAAATATTTTTTGCTTATTTCGTAGAAAAAAAGCTTGTTTTTTTTTTTATTTTTTTATTTTATAGATAAATAAAATTACCTGATGAAGAAAATGATGGTTTTTCAAATTGAAGAAGACGATCCAAAAGAAAACTAAAATAAAAAGTAAAGAAGTATGATAAATATTAAAAATGTTATAAGTAAGCTTTTTTACCAATTTCTTTTTCTTTTTTTTTTTACCCAAAAGAACAAAGACTTTCAAAAGAGCAAAAGACTTTCAGTTATTGACCAATTATTTTGATAATTAACTGAAATTTTCACATTTTTATTTTCACAGTTTTCTTCACACAACTCTAAATTTTTACTAAAAACACATCTACTTTGTCTGTGATTTTTTACTAAAAACACATCTACTTTGTCTGTGATTTTTTACTAAAAACACATCTACTTTGTCTGTGATTTTTTACTAAAAACACATCTACTTTGTCTGTGATTTTTTACTAAAAACACATCTACTTTGTCTGTGATTTTTTACTAAAAACACATCTACTTTGTCTGTGATTTTGATTGCTGATATTGTTGATTTTATGAGAATCCTTTCCATAATGTAGTATGTAGGGTTTCATTTTGTCTTCACATCATTTCTCACCCCAAGTCTGTCAAAGATGGTCAATTGATCAAGTCTGTCATGATTTCTCTTTGTAGTTGCTGCTGCCTGTAACTCTGTGTAGAAGAGGTATAAATGTTATGCAGAACAAAACATGAGAAAACAATTAGGGATGTAGGTCATTTAGATATAGTTATCAGGTCTGCTAAGGAAAAAAAAAAGCTCGAAAAAAACATAACTAAGCTTATTGATTCAATATCAGCTTGTTGTCATGCAGCATTTGATACAAAAACTATAGATGAATTTACGTGCAACATCATACTTTTGTAAACAACATATGTGCATACTTATAGGCAGAAAACATTAAAACTTTACAAGTATACATTCATAAGGTCATAATATAAATATACTTTATAATTGTCTTTTGCATTTCTTTTATATCATTAAATAAAACTTTTTTCTGTTTGAAAAATGATTGAAAGAATAATAATTAGTTTTAATAAAAATAAAAGTTTTAATAAAAATAAAAGTTTTAATAAAAATAAAAGTTTTAGCTATTTTTATAAATTTTTTATGTATTTTATGTTCTTCTGCAAATTTTTAATTCAGATTCTCGTAAAACAACAACAACAAAAATTCTTATAAGCTTTTTCAGTTCATATCGCTTTTAAAAACTTTTTCTAATTTAATGAATAACAACATCATAATTGAATATTCAGCAGCCGTGGCGCAGTGGTAACGCACTTGCCTCAGAAACGTAAGATCCGTGGTTCAAACCCCACCTCTAGGCAAGTTTTGCGACATCTGTTGGGAAGGAGGCGTGAATTTCCTATTAAATGCTCATCCGCAGTGCTCTGTGATAAGACCGTAAGGACTTCTTGGGGCACCTAAATCAACTTTTAAAAAAAAAATATATATATTTTGAAGTAGTAGTAAATTTTTAAGTAGTAGTAATTTGGCATCCAAGGTGCAGGTTAGAAACACCTAATATTGACAACAATATTTCTTATTGTAACAAGAAGTAGTGACAAATCAATAGATAATGGAGGAAAGTTTACAGCCAAATGCCTAAGTCCTAGTTTTGGAAAAATTACAGCATTGTAAAAAATTAGGTAATTTAAAAAACTTTACACTTGTGTTGGAATAAAATAAGTTCAGGACAAAACAAGTAATAAATAGTTACAAAAAGGTTTTTAAACCAGACAATAGATAAATAAAAACTAATACCCTCCTTTAAAATGTATTTAGATTTTTAATTTGTAAATAATAATAATTTTTCTCTATAAATTTACTCTTATTATTTTTCATTAGTTTTTTTTTTTTAGCTGTTCTACAAGACAATCTAAAGAGAAACTTTTCGTTAGTGTAAATTTATTTTCAGCTGTTCTACAAGATAATCTAAAGAGAAACTTTTTGTTAGCGTAGTGTTGTTCCTCTTGTTAAGATGCATTTAATGATTCATTTAACAACTTTTAACTTTCACTTTTTTATCTTATTTATTTGTAGCATGCTTGATGATCTTTTAATAGGTAACAAATTTTATAAGGCAAGGATTTAGATTATCAATTTTTATAACAGAGTTATTAGGTGATATGTAACCTGGGTCTTGTCTCTTTTCAACTTCTTAAACAGTCTTAAATTTTCTTTTGCAACCAAAACATACTTTTTTCCAGGAATTTTCCAGGAAAGCAGAGTTCAGTTGATTAGGTTCCAGAGTGACTGTTGTCAGATTTCCTTTAAAAATCTTTGAATGAATCAAGAGAGGGTCACACCAAGACTATGTTATGGTATGTTGAATAGTATTTAATAAATTGCAGACTATGGTGAGTACAAATTGTATGCAGATTATTATTTGCTATTTCAGTTCTTAAGGTCAGCAGGTCTTTGTCTTCATTTAATATTCTGTATTTCAGAATGACTGCAGTATCTATTTTTATGACAATCTAACTTTAGTTTAATGTCAATAGAACAAAAATTCATGATCTTCTTTGATTTAGAAAATTTAATTGAATTAAATTATTATTTATAACTTTATAAATAAAATAGATCCAACACATAAGATAGAAACAAAAAATATGATGAAAAAAACTGCAACAACAAAGTTTAAAACATCTCACAGACTTTTATTTTAAGTTACAAACACTTAAATTTGCAAAAAAGGTACATTTTCTAAAATCATTGTATTTTTAAATAAGTATTAAGACTATTGATCTATATTTAGAAATTGAAGCTCATTTACATTTACTAAAAATAATTATTTAATCAAAATACGAAATCATTATTTAATAAAAATATGAAATCATAATTTATATCATATAACCATAATGGTTTAATTAATATTATTTTGCTTCACTTTGCCGTTGATGTCTAAATCCACTGCTCTAATTGTGCACTTAATTACTAGCAATTTAATCACCTATAATAAAATAGAATTTAAATGAATTTTAAAACTTTTTTTTCTTCCTAACATGCAATTCTAATCCTTATTAAAATAAAATTTAAATGAATAATGAAAGAATAAATGAATGAATGCTTTCAATTTTAGGATTAACTAAAATATGTTTAAAGTATCACATTTGAGCAATAACGCAGGGCACTAAATAGTTACGGCCCTTTCAGTTGTGCCCCTATCCAGTTAGGAATGGCAATACGGGAATCCCAAAATTTAAAGATTCTGTACAAATTGTTCATCCCAAATCTAAAGATTAGTCTTCAAAATTTCCTGAGATTTTGTGATCATCATAAAAAATTTAAAGTACAAAAAGGTTAAGCTTAATTGGTAATTAAGTAATTTTTACACTATTAAATGTAAATATAGGCTGTTTATTCTTTTTTCAATGTTTTCTTTTTATTCTCTCTCTTTCTGTATTTTATTGAAAATACAAACTAAAAATATTATTTCTTTTCTGTTAAATATGTATATTAAACATATAAAAAATAAAGTATAATATTAAAACTGCTATATAGAATTTTCAATATTATACAATATATTATTTTTAGAATTGAAATGAATTAGAAAATTCAAAAATTTCAATAGAAGGTACTTTAATTTTATTTAGAATTTTCTAATTCATTTTAATTACAATTGTGTGTGATTTTAATTCCATTTTTATGTCCACTCAATTTAATTAAAAATGTGTGTGATTTACAAAAGTTTTTTAAAGATCGGTTTAATAAATCAGGTTATTAAAATACAGAAGGTTTATTAAATTACAAAAGTTTACTTAACGTCCGTTTAATTAATGAAGTTATTAAAATAAATAAAGTTTATTAAACTTTATTTATCATTATTCAAAGTTGAAATTTTTTTCTGAAGAGGAAGATTATATTCCAGATTCAAATGATTCATTGTTAATTAATAAAACATCCGTAGTTAAAATTAAGCACCAAATTATTGGACCCATCGTAACAAATGTCAGGAAAATTGTGAAAATGTTTAAAAGGTCCCCAAACAAAAATAAAAATTATTTACAAAAGTATGTAGAAAATGAGTTTGGAAAGGTCATCCATTTAATCACGGATTGCAGAATCCGATGAAGCAGCTTGTTGCATATGCTAGACTGATATGTTAACTTAAAATTTAAACAGTTATTGTGTTAAAAAGGTGCTTCTAGATTTAGAATTGGATTCCAACATCGACGATTCAATTAAGATGAACGAAAAAGAATGTAGAATAATATCTGATTTAGTAGTACTTTTGACTCTGTTAAAACAACTGTGGTAGCATTTTGTCGGCAAGACCCAAGTTTAATTTCTGCTGACATTGCAATAGAGTTCATGTTCACAAAAATAAAAGAACCATCTAAAATTGGAAAACAATTGTATAATGGTTTGAGTCACCAAATTAAAGAGAGGAGAACATCATTGAGGAGCTTAATACATCTTCATGGCCAGGCTACTTCATAAAAAATCACAGAAGTTTTTGTACCAAATACAATTACCCCAAAACAAAAAAAACTATGACAAACCTGATAAAGTGTTTAAACTTGGCAGATATAATAACAGCAGCAGACTTAATTAGTGATAGTTGTGTTCAGTTGAACTAGGCTTTTATTTAAGATAATGTCAAAACAATTAGTGAACAATTAAATTAAGTTAAGGAAAAAGTTGGAAAAAAGATTGCCAGCAATACAAACAATAAGAGTGGAAAGCATAACTTTTAAAATTCAAAAAGAAATGTTGTTATTTAAAAGTGGTAACTCAAGATGTTATCGCCTTTAAAAAACATGATTATATACTATCTATACGGCCAACAAGTGTGGAGTCAAAACGAGCGTTCTCAGCCACTGGGTTATTATGTTCAAAAAATCGAATACCGTTAAGCAATGAAATGACAGATGCTTTGATTTTTTTTAGGGTGGTACTTTCAAAAATAAATATAATTCGTGCATATTCATGCATATTTATATTATTTTTAGTTATTATTTTTATTTATACTGTGTGATCATTTTTAAGTATTGTTTTATAATTTAAATTTCTTAGGTTCATTAATGAATAAGTATTTTAGTTGTATCATTAAATTAATCATTTTTAAGTGTTCGATAAGTACTTAAAAAGCTAGTTGTTTTTATGCTTCACTTTCTACAATTGCGTTTTTTTCTATTCAATCCCAGGATTTCCCAAGGACAAATTTCTCAATCTTGAAACCCCGGGATTGAAAATTTCCAAGATTAAGAAATTTGTCCCCTCCTTGATCTAGTATAAAAACTAGATCAAGGAGGGGACAACTAACCATATCTTTTCTTTTATTAAGAAATAACTTATAACTAATTGCACCCCATGGGCCAGTAGGCAGGATGGAGGGGTGCTGATTTTCAATAATGCATTCAACCCTTGATAATTGAAAAATAGAGTTATTTAAAAATGCTGCCTTTTTTGTTATAAACAAAACAAGTTAAAAATGTTTGTATTTTTAGATTATGGGTCGAATGGTCTTAAATGCTAATAATTTAAGATCAACTGAGATTATGTAAGATGTGTAGGAAAATTAACAAGCATCTCAAAATGGCTAAAAATTTGACTTTTAGGAAAATGGGCAATATATTTTTTTATATATATGAGTTCTAAACTCAAATAAAAAAAACCTATACTTTGCCCATTTATTGTAGACAATAGCAGCTAATGAAAAAACTAACCTTTAAAGACTTGTTGAGGAATAAAAAAATACTAAGGCTAACTTCATTTTGGTGTTTTTAAGTATTTTTCAGATTTTTCTAAAGTTGAAGAGAGTGAAATTTTTTTTTAAATATAATACAAGTTAATAAAAATCACTATTTTAAAAACAGAACTATCCAGAAAATAGATCTAGAAAAAATGAAACACTTGCTAAAAGTGAGAAAAAAGTTTAAAGTCTGTTTTGCAATTTGTAAATTGAGAGGAGCCACTGTGTAGTGTTTATAATAATTTTAAACCGTTGCATTGGAAACCTAAAACTTCAAATTTAACCTATCTACATAATGCATGTAATATGGAAAATCAGGTGAATCGGGGATGGTGCCCCACAAAATTTTCTTCAAATTGGTTGAAATATAATGACTGTCCAGTTATCTGCAATCAGTGACGGATTCAGGAATTTTTAGTGGAGGAGGAGGGGGGATGTTGAAATATTTTTGTATTTTGTACCACATTTTTGTCTCCTAAAAAAAAAGGTCATAAATTTCTAAGATATTTTAGGACTTTCAGATTCTGGATGGGGGGGGGGAGGGGTATGCATACCTCTCCCCCTCCCTCTAGATCCATCACTGTCTGCTGTTTCATATAATTAATGTTTTTAAAAAACCATATATTTTTTAGAATTACTCTTAATAAAAGAATCTAATAAACAAGCTATAAAATGCAAGACAAGAACATTAGGAACTATAAAATTTATCTTTGAGGTTTTTATCATAAACCTTTAAAATATTCAATTTTTATGTTTCACAGAACCGTAGCTTTGTTAGTGTTTTAAAGTTATAGAGCTGAGAGGTTATTACATATAACATAAAATTAATTTCATAAAAACATAAAATGAAATAAGCACCCTCCAAAAATACAGTTTAGAGTAAAGTTTTTCTAATGAATGCAGCTTCTCAAGGGTGAAAGTAATCCTTGAGGAGGTAAATATATTTGAAACTGTTGACTTATTTAAATTAATAAATTGACATCTCTAGTATAACTGACTTGAAATGTTCTGGGTGATTCCATGTAAAAACATCCAGGGCATGCAACCTTAAGGCTCAGATTTTGCTGATTTTTACACCGCTCAAAGATTTTAATAAGTTATTAACATTTCTAAAATTTTATCATCTAATTCCAAGCCCTTCCAAAGTTATGATTCTTCAACTTTGCCTTAAACCCACAAAAATCTGTTATTTAAAAAAATGCTTTTGGCCATTGCTTGTGTTCTGTGTGCGATGGAAAGCTGAAAATGTGTTCACTTTCATATTTTGAGGCAAGGAATCCAAAAAAACAACTTAAAATTTAAAATAAATATAACATCTGTAATTTTGACCTTCATTGCAAATTTACTGGGGTGAGTTTAGTTACAAAAATGTCGATGTAGCTCAATTTTTTTTAGATGCAAAAATAAAAAATTTTTAAATTAAATTAACTTAAATTTGTTACTTAAAAAAACAGGAATTATGAAAAATGTAAGGAAAAAAAAGGTGGTACCCTTAAGTACTTAATATACAGCAGTTTGTTTAATAATTTACAAAAAAATTCCCATATGCCATGAGCTTATTAAGATTCCCTGCCCCTGTTTGTAAAACTTTACTTGTTACAAACAAAGAAACAGTAATATTTTACTTGTTACAAACAAAGAAACAGTATCCCAAATCTAAAAAAAAATTTCAGCTATTATTTTAGAGTTTTTGAGACCCATTTAGGTTTTAAAAATTAGAAAATATCAACCTACTTATAGGGAAAAAAAAACTCCCACTTACCTGTTTGTGAGACTTCCCCCTTCCCTCTCCCTTACTCCCTCCTTCTTTTCTCATCTCCCCTTCCCCCATTCATTACATTAGGATAAAAATTCCCATCCATCCTTTTATTTTGTTAAGCAATTGAGAGTAAGTTGACAGTAATGAAACTGAAATAGCTTTGACCATACCCAAATCTACATTTAGTTGTTGCTGACTTGCTTTTTCTGTTTTTTGGTAACTTAATAAATTTCGATCCTAAATTTCAAAAATTTATTAAAATTTAATCATAGGCAAGTTGAATTAAAAATTAGATGTATAGGCTCTTTTTTTTATTTGTCTTAAATAATTTAAAGTTATATTAATTGGATTGTGGTCTTTCCTAAAACAGAAATAAAAAACATTGTCATACATTTGACAATGTTATTTTTTTCTGTTTTAGTAGATAAATTTAGAACTCTATTTAAAAAAAATAGAACAATAAACTTAGGGTTGCATTTTATAAAAAAAATTGGATGCTTTCACATATAGTTCCCCTTCTATGAATCTGTTCTTTTTATTGTTCCTAAATATTATTGTTTGCATAAAGGCCCAAAAAGGCAGCAAAAGTTTATACTAAATGAATAAATATTTAGTATGCCATATATACATATATATACATATTTATACACATATATATATATATATATATATATATATATATATATATATATATATATATATATATATATATATATATATATATATATATATATATAACCTTTTGTCTCTAGATGCTCGAAGACATTTCTTTTGTACTTTTTGAAGTTCTTCATGAAAACATTCTTGTTCCTGTCAAAAGTTTAAACAACTTGTTATTTTCACTAATCAACATAAAATAACTATTTCATACATAATATTTAACTTGCTTTTACATATAAGAAATAGTTTGTATATAGAAAAAACTACTTACATATAAAAGACAGCTTAACTTTCTTTTTAAGCTCCTATATTTCTCTTTATAATTTATTTTAGTTTCATCCAGATCATTATTATTCTCATTGTCTGGAACTTTTAAATCTTTCACAATTTTTTTGTCATCAAAGCATGAAACCATATCAGTATTAGTACAGTCTATCATTTTTTTAAAACTATTTGTTTATTTAAAAATGATTATACTTTTATATAGTCATCAGCGTCATTAAAAACTTTGTACAAAAACTACTATGCACTTAAAAGCATTAAAAAGTTATCACCTATCCATAACATAACAATCTAACCAAATCTAAACCTAACTTTATAACCTAATAGTCCCATTTTTTAAAATGAAACATTTGTTTCCTGAATTCCCCTAAATTAGGGAAAGACAGGAAACAATTGGCCATTTGCTTTCACTTATTTCTAAATTATGCATTACCAGAAACAAATAAACTTTAGTAGAATAGCAAAGAATGGAACAAAATAACAAACAAAATTACCAACTAATGTATCTTTATTTTTGTTAATTCTAATTAGTAATATTTTTGTCAATTTTAATTAGTAAAATTTTTATTTTTGTTAATTCTATTTAGTAATCATTTATATACTATATAAACTACATAAATACATGTACGTATGTAAATTACATACATGCATGCATGCATGTACGTATGTAAATTACATACATCCATGCATGCATGTACGTATGTAAATTACATACATGCATGCATGCATGTACGTATGTAAATTACATACATCCATGCATGCATGTACGTATGTAAATTACATACATGCAGGAATGCATGTACGTATGTAAATTACATACATCCATGCATGCATGTACGTATGTAAATTACATACATGCAGGAATGCATGCATGTATATATGTGTATGTATGTATGTATGTATGTATGTATGTATGTATGTATGTATGTATGTATGTATGTATGTATGTATGTATGTATGTATGTATGTATGTATGTATGTATGTATGTATGTATGTATGTATGTATGTATGTATGTATGTATGTATGTATGTATGTATGTATGTATGTATGTATGTATGTATGTATGTATGTATGTATGTATGTATGTATGTATGTATGTATGTATGTATGTATGTATGTATGTATGTATGTATGTATGTATGTATGTATGTATGTATGTATGTATGTATGTATGTATGTATGTATGTATGTATGTATGTATGTATGTATGTATGTATGTATGTATGTATGTATGTATGTATGTATGTATGTATGTATGTATGTATGTATGTATGTATGTATGTATGTATGTATGTATGTATGTATGTATGTATGTATGTATGTATGTATGTATGTATGTATGTATGTATGTATGTATGTATGTATGTATGTATGTATGTATGTATGTATGTATGTATGTATGTATGTATGTATGTATGTATGTATGTATGTATGTATGTATGTATGTATGTATGTATGTATGTATGTATGTATGTATGTATGTATGTATGTATGTATGTATGTATGTATGTATGTATGTATGTATGTATGTATGTATGTATGTATGTATGTATGTATGTATGTATGTATGTATGTATGTATGTATGTATGTATGTATGTATGTATGTATGTATGTATGTATGTATGTATGTATGTATGTATGTATGTATGTTTGCACAATAAAATATGTATATGTATGTATTATTGCACAATAAAATTTAAATGGAAAAAACATCCTAAATTTAAAAAGTTTTAAATATATAGAATATATAAAAATAGTATAAAAATATAAAGGAATGATTTTTAACTAAATGATTTTTAAATGCAATGAGCTACGCAACCACTGTCGAATTTACCCGAAGTGTAAACAAACATAAAAAAAAAAAAAAAAAACCTCTTATACTTAACACGTTACTCGCAGATGGCGAATTTAAACACGGTAGTTACTCGTAGTTAGTAAGGCCCACAGGCGCGAGGAAAGGGGAGGTGGTTAGGGGAAGATGCAGAGTTATAGGGGCCTAAGCAAACTTTTTTGAAAAAAATTCAAAAAGTTGTCACTGTAAAAATGCATGTAAACATATCAACATTAACGATTTGTGTTATTATTATGTATCAGAGAAATGCATACATACCCATCTGCAACACGCGCTAAGTCACAAAAATAAAAATTTTAAGTTATTTTCAATTCCACATTCTATGTACTGAAACCTATCATCTATTTAAATATTAGACTAATTGAAACTTTTTTTGTCTTAAAAATAGACAAAGAAAATATTAATTTCTGTTGATACAGAACTATGATTAGTTTAGTTTTTAATCGTTTTCTCAAGATCAATTTACTCGGACTTAGCGCGTTTTGCAAATGAATTCCACAAATCCAAACTATTTTTCAGATTGTCTTTTAGCCCCAATAATAATTTTCGTCAATCCTCCAAATAGTGAGTAACTTTTTATTTGTTTATATGTATAAAATTAAAACAAAATACATTAACTCATAAATAATAAAATAGTATACAATTTTATTAAATGGAAAGTATGATGTTTTAACGTTTTAACACAATGTTAAATTTTCATCAATTTAATTTACAAGGTTAAATTTTCATCACTTTAAATCCGCATTTTACACGTTGAAAGTTTCCAAATTTCCGCATTTTAACCGTGTCCACAAGAATATATTGTGATATATTCAGTGACATAGTCGCAACCCTTAAGCTATATTTAACATTACCCATTAGCGTGACAATCAAAAAATCTTTCAATACATTAAAAATAATTAAAACACATTTAAGGACAACGGTGGCATAAGACCGTTTATCTGCGCTACTCTTATTAACTATCAAAGCAAAAACAGCTCAATTAAAATTAAAAGATGTTAATATACGTTATAGATCATATTGCATAATAAGATTTTCAACATACTATACTTGCATGCTTTAACATGCATTGATCGCCGCCACTTTTTATCTACAGATATATATTCTGACGATTGCAAAATTTTAAATGCAGAAAAGCAAATTATTTCAGTAACACTCAACTACCTGAGGTTCTAGAGATTATAAATAACCAGTGATAATTGCATTACAGTAACGCCAGTGCTTACAATAATATACTGAGAATAAAATACAGTCAATACTACAGTATTCAAATTCAGAGATCTTTTCAAGGATTTGCCATTATGCGACTATCTTCCCAATTATCTTATAACCTGATTCACATTTAGACTCAGATTTTTCAGCTTTTGCTTTTGCTTTTAAATCGTCAGCTGGAGCGTGTTTTTCAATCCATACTCAGATGTAAAATTGAAGACTAAACAAGTGCAGCAATGAAACTACATTTTTTAGGCATAAATGCACTCATTGTTTTAAGTTTGTAAATGTTTTTTACAAATTTTATAAACATTAATGAGCTGTTCTAAATATGGCCTATGAATAATATAATGACTGATGTCGTTATGTTATTTATGGTACAAAATCCTTGTTCACAATCTGTTGTTACAGCTATAGCAGCAACTGCATTAAGAAGTTGTTGTCGTTGATTTGGAAGATCTGCAATCAGAAGTTATTGCAGTTAATCTGGAGGATTTTTGGTTAACCTTTGAATCTAAATAATCGTAAACATTTATCAATACATGTTACAGCATGTAAGTTTGGTTTCACTGGCTTCTATGTCATTAAGTTAAAATTGTGTTTAAGAATAAGGTTATAGTTTTCATAAACAATTTTTGTGTCGAGGAAGGAGGGAGGAGTGGTTGAAAAGTAATAAAGGCCCAGATTAAAATTTTGCGGGAGAACAGGGGTCTTTTTTTGTTGTTACACTACTGATGATATCATCAAGCAACAATCAGCACAAAAATAGATTGCATAACAGATTGTGTACGAATAAGTAGTAAACACTAATAAAGTGCATTATACTAGTTTACTGACTAAGTGATTATTCAAACTATGTTGGTATACTTTTGTATTAATCCCAGTATAACGGGCACTATAATATACAGACATAGTTTGTTATATTGGGATAGGCAATGAAATAGCCGTAAACTTCTTAATTTAATAGTTTAAATACAATTTTATTTCTCAGAAAATTTATTTTTTGAACGTCAAGTTTACAAAAGTACACAAAACAAAAGTTACTTTTGTACAAAAAGAAAAGTATGCGAAAAGTTGGTTTGTATATTTACTGCAACGTTGCTGAGGACTTTATAAATAATCTATTGTTTATATAAGTTATATTATAGAACAGAATAGCGTTCTATAATATAACTTATATATAGCAAATAAAACTATATCAACTGTAAAAAAAAAAATTCTTAAGCAGAAATACTGACTTTAAAAAAACCATTGGGTGCTTTCAACAAATAAACATTGTTTGTGTATATATTTTTTTATATAAAAGTAGAAGTATACCGGATTGGAAATTTTGAATTCCGGCCGGAACCGGATTTGTCGGAATTGTTGAAAAAATTTCGTCCGGAATGAGATTCATATTTATGTAGTTTTCAACCTTCAATGTAGTTTTCACCTTCCTTATGTAATTTACACCTTCAAAATTAAAAGTGAAAGCCTGCACCTTTATTTATAACCTATAGTATATATATATATATATATATATATATATATATATATATATATATATATATATATATATATATATATATATAGTATATATATATATATATATATATATATATATTACTCAGTTTGTGTCAAATGTCCGAAATTCCGACCGGAACGGAATTACATTAGTACATCCCTATATAAAAGTGATTTTATTCTAAAATTTTATTTACTAAATGAGAAAAGTGTTGGAAAAAAGTATATATTCTTCAATCATTTTTGCAATGAGCTTTGTAAACAGAATGATTGCATGATGTACACTGCAAGCGATATTTTTGTTTTCATAAACACGTGGGCACATACAACATTTTTGAGTATGTTGCTCTTGAAATGGTAGAACTTTTTTTGGTAATGATAAGTTTTTTTTGAAACTATTTGGCTAAGATTTTTTGAAAACTTACTTGAAACTACTTGGAAAAAACTTCCATTAAATTATTACGACGAATACTCTTTTATACTCTTTTCTTATAACAAATATATGTAAAAATGTTAAAATTTAATACATATATTTGTTTACAAATATATGCAAAACTGTTAAAATATAAATAATAAAATAAAACGATTACAACATAATTAATAACAAATTAAACAAGTTAAATGTTCTTA